TGTTACTGAGAACCAACTCCAGGCCAGGAAGGGTTCCAGGTATAGTCTTGTGGAGATAGCCAAAAACAACATAAACACCATATCAGATCACTTCTGATGATGAAAGGTACCTGAAAGAAAAGAAAATAGGGTGACAGCTGGAGAAGGGTGATGTGTATAACAGGCACAGCACATAGTCAGCACTTCTGGCAGTGACAGATGTGAGGGAATGCCTGTGATTCGAGCACTCAGGAAGGTGAGGTAGGAGGATTGAGAGTTCCAGGCCAGCCTGGGCCACAGGGTTGACACTGTCTCAAAAAAGCCAAAAAAGGACAGGGGGTGAAGTTCAAGTGGCAGAGCACTTGCCTAGCAAGCTTGAGGCCCTGAGTTCAAGCCCCAGTACTGAAAAAAATATTTAAAAATTTTAAAAAAGGAAAGAAAGAAAGAAGAAACAGGGCTGGGGGTGTAACTCAGGGTAGAGTACTTGCCTAACTTGTGTGAAGCCCTGGATTCAATACCTAGCACTAGGAAAAAAATAAAGAAAAAGAAAAAACTCACTTCCCAGGTATTTATTTTGATTTTAGATTGATACATGCTAATTACGTCAACTGATTAGTTTTCAAAACTTGTATTTTTTTCTGATTACAAAAAGTACTATTTACAAAATGTTCAGGTAGAAAGAAAGTACAATTAACTTTCTAAACCAGCTTTGTAATGCACAGTTGCGAGGTTTTGTGTATATCCCTCACATACTATATGCAGTATTGTTACCACTGAATGTTACCATTAGTTGGCAAAAAAATGGAGTCATACCATATAGACTATTTCATCACAACTGCTACTTGCCCTTTAAACTTGACATCACAGTTTGGCCCTATCCATGCCTGAACACATAGCTAGATAAGTATTAGTACACCCCTTTTGCCAAGGAGTAAGCTGGCTTGGGGAAGTTTAGTGGCTTCTCTAACGGCCTTGCATAACAAATAGCCCCAGAGAATCCACAGGGGAGAAGTCTGGCTCACAGAAGACAGGCCATTTCTGCATTTGTGGGTTTAAAGATGTTCAATGTGATTGACCACCCTCTTAGATGATGATTATTTTGGGCTCAGAGTTTTGACAACAGAGCTCCTGCCCTTGGATAGGTGACCTTTTCCAGGAGGGATGGGGATAACAGACCCAGCAAATTCACCGCTTGTCCTGACAGTGCTTGTTGCAAATCCCTGGCAGATGTTTTGAATTTCAAAATAAATTGTGGGGCAAGGAGCGCTCTTCTTTCAAATAATCTGTTTCTGGTTCCCCAGGGATAGCCAGGAGAGTGGCTCTAGAGTTGAGGGGCAAAGGAGACCTTGAATTCTATCTTATAGGAGTTGCTCAATTACAAAATGACTTCTGGCCAGGTGCCAGTGTCTCGTGCCTATAATGCTAGCTACTCAGGAGGCAGAGATCAGGAGGATCAGGTTTGAAGCCAGCCTAGGCAAATAGTTCCACAAGACCCTATCTTGGAAATACCTAACACAAGGGCTGGTGGAGTGGCTCAAGATGTGGGCCCTGAGTTCAAGCCCCAGTACCACAAAAAAAATGACTTCTGGCCCGCTGTCCTATCTGTCCACACCGAGGGAATAGTCAAATCATTTTCCCCTTAGGGAAGAGACTGGGCTGAGGTTACTGAAAGGAGGGACAGGGTTCTCTCACCTAGCAGTCAAAGCTATAGACATGTCCAAAGCTGGAGCCTTCAGAGTCTGACCCTAGAGTTTCTGCTGGAGCCAGGAAGGGTGGAATTGGGCAGGGTCATCCTGTTCTTGAGCTGCCTTTCCTCAAAGTACACTGAAGTCCCTCTCTTCTTGTTTTCCTATAGTAACAATAACAACCACAAAGGTAACAAAGCTTGGCCTGTTTGACAGTTGTAGACACTAAGGGTCACAGGAACTTGAGGAACTTGCCTGGGGTCACAGAGCTGGGCCAGCCAGACCCCAAACCTGGGCTTTTCTTCTCTCTGAGGGTGGAAGTCCTTTATTCACATCTGCCCCCAATCCACCACCACATATGGAAGGAGTCACTCTGAGGCTCTGGATCCTGGAGGTTCAACAGAAACACTGTAAACAAGGTCCTGGGTCTTTCAGGGCTTACGTTCTGATCAATAAGTAGGCAATTATAGGAGAGTGGGAGAAAGATGTGATGTAGTCAGCTGATGTGCAGCCCTGTGTGTGATCAGGAGCAGGTGAGGGAGTTAAAAGCCAGACCCCCAGGCCCCTCACTCAGTAGGTCTAGGTAGGAATGTAGTTTGTGGACTTTTTAACAAGTTCTCACCTGATTCTGACACCCCTCAGGGTTAGAACTACTGCTAGGGGACCTATGTAATGACAAGCATGGGTCTTTCATTAAGCACTCACTAGGTATCAGACACTGTGCTCAGTTTTTTTCTTTTTTGGTGGTGGTTCAGGGAGGGGTGAACTCAGGGCCTCAGGTTTGCTAGGCAGGTGTTATATTTACTTCAGAGATGAGGAAATTGAGGCTTAGAAGATGAACTCAATAAGGCCTGGGTTTGAATCTCTGCTGCCAAGAGTGGGGCAAGCTAAGATTCAAACCCAGACTACTTACTGGCTCGAGAGCTTGAACTCTCACCAGTAAAAGTGGTTACTGGTCCTCACAGAGTCTAAGGAAAAACTTTCTGTTTTCTTCCTTTTTTTTTTTTTTTTTACTTCATATCTTAAATTTCTTTAAATAACCAAGCATTGAAATTTTGGTAAAAATGTTAATTATCTTTAAATGATTTTCCAAGGGAAAACTTGCAAAGTGAAAAACTCACCCAAGAGCCTACAGAAATGCAAGGGTTAACAGGCTGTGCAGTCCTTGTTTAATGTACTTAAACAGCAGGTTCCTTCCAGAAGCTACTGCTGTGAGAGTCAAGAAATCCATTAGGCAGTTATTAATGACTACATCTAAATCTTTCTGTGGACAGGCCAAGAAATGCTTTTAATACTCTCTTTTCTGAGCTGAGGGCAGTGGGGCCTCTCAGCCACCAGCTCTGTAAAGAGAATGACAGTGTAGTCCTCAAAAAACCCATAGTTTGGGGTTCCCTGGAGACACCTCAAACCACTCTCATCAAACACAAGCAAACCATTTCTCTCTCCCTTCCACCAGGACACTTCCAGCCTGATTCAGACCCCCTCCCTGTAGCTGGCAGATTCCCATCCCTTGCTGGAGCCCCTAGTGACACCTGATCTCCCCAGTCATCTTACACCGCACCCCGAAACCTCAGCTGTTGCAAAGGTCATTCCCCTATTCCTGGCTTGGCCCGGGTCTCTGATTGAGCTGTGCAACTGTGGCTGTCACTAGCTCTGCTTCTGGCCTCAAGGAGTCAATCTTCTGTCACACAGCCATCCTGGGTGTGCCCCACTCCTGCAGCTTGGCCTGACTCCAGTCCATGCTCTGGGCAGTTGCACATCATCCCTGTCCCAGGGCTCAGGAGTATGGCTTGGAAGGGTCAGATCTCCATTCTTGTCTCTTAAGAACATGATGTTCCCTCTACCCAAGAGACAGACCTGTTACCCGGAGCCTAGAGCCCACTTCTGTCTGCCTAAAGAGGGAAAATCCATATGGTCAGATTCATCTACTTATTCAATGTCCATCTGTAACTCAGACACCAGCTCAGTGGAGAACAGGAGGCCAGATCTCTCTGCCCTTGTGGCCCTGGAAGGCAGTAGGACAAGGAGCACAAGCCTGGGGGTAGCCAACCCTGGCCCATTCCAGTTCCAATTCCTACTTGTAGTTCTTCCAGCAAGCCATTCCCTTCTCTGAGCCCAGAGTGCCTGTCTAGCAAGCATGAAGACCTGAGTTCAAATCCCAGTGCCCCTCCTAAAAGAAAAGCTCTTCTCCCCCCACCCCTGCCCTGGTACTGGGGTTTGAACTCAGGGCCTACACCTTGACCCACTCCACCACCCATTTTTGTGATGGGTTTTTTCAAGATAGGGTCTCTCAAACTATTTGCTGGAGTTGGCTTTGAACCTCAGTTGTCCTGATCTCTGCTTCCTGAGTAGCTAGGATTATAGGTGTGAGCCACCAGCACCCAGTTTTAACTCTTTTATAAACATTAAGTTCCAGGCACCGGTGGCTCAGTCCAGTAACCCTATCTCAAAAATATCCAACAAAAAAAAAAGGGCTGGTGGAGTGACTCAAGTGGTAGAGTGCCTGCCTAGCAAGTATGAGGCCCTGACTTCAATCCCTGGTACTGCCAAAAATGAAGCAAATATATATATGTGTGTGTGTGTGTGTGCAGGGTATGGTGGTGGATGTCTGTAATCCCGGCACTCAGGAGGCTGAGGCAGGAGGGCACAATTTAGAGGCTAGCCTGGGCTACATAGAGAGAGACCCTGCCTCAAACAAAACAAAAACCTACAGAATCATTAAATTTCTTAAAAATATGGAAATTGCCTTTTTTTTTTTTTGAGTTGTGGAATTTATTAAGATGTAGTTTCACTTGCAAACTCAAATAGCCAAACAAATGTAGATCAGCATATAAACATATACATATATATATATTATAATGTTATAGGGAAGACAAAAAATAAGGGAAGATAAAAATTACTTTTTAATTTTTCTCTTTATACCATCTGTTTTATTGCTAAGGAAATATCTATACCACTGCCATGTTATCCTGTTCCAGGTTAACAAAACAACATGGGTTTCTTAATTGGTTGAAAAATTAGCAAAACTCACTCCTAAACTATATTAACAGCAAAAAAATGTGTGACTACTGTCATTCACAAACTTCCATTTTGAAGCTGAATGAACTTTGTTGAAAGGGACATTTGAAAAATTCCAAAGGAAACCAAGTCAACTTAGAAATCACCAAATCGATCAGGAACACAAAAATATTAATAATATAGTATTTTGCTCTGAATCTATTCTGGGGTTCCACTACTGAGAAGACTGACTTATCTATTCAAACACAAAGTGAAAAACAGGCATCATTTCATATGGGGCAGGAGAAGCTACTGGGTGTGGTCCTGGCCATGGAATGTTACCTAGTCCCACAGTGGTTCTGATTAAGCTTCATTCTTGGGCACCTTCCCTACCTCTCAGAGCCTCTTCATAAAGGGATGGGAAGGACCTGGGATTACCCCCACTGACCTTGGCCCAGTGTTCCAGAACTTTCATCTTACTGGTTTCAGCATAGGCCCTTGGGCCCCACAAGAACTCATAGCGAGCAGGATTACTATATGGTACCTGCTGGTACTCAAGGTACTGTTCCTGCACAAAATCTTCAGTGACCAGCCTCCTGGAGTTCCCATAGATGTAGTGATCCCTCTCAGCACATACCCCCATCATACTCAGCATTTCCCATACAACCTCCTCAGAGGCATGGTTGCCCTCCATGAAGATGACACCCAGGACAATTATCAAGAGGCCTGTTTTGGGCATTCCCTGGACATCACTCAGCATCCCATCATATGTGAGCCCCAAGGATGTGACAAGGACATAGGACTGGTTGGAGGGGTCCACTTCCTTCAGATCAATGCCAAAGACTAGCTGCATGCGCTCAGAGGCTCTCCTAAAGATAGTAGGGAAGTAATCCTGGTGATTGATAACATGGCTTAGCAGGAAATTGCCTTTTTCAAAGAAAACTAGAAAGTTTTTTTCAAATCATTCATGAACGGGGTCTTGTGCCTTGCACAGAGTTAGTACTACAAAATGAGTAACGTGCTAGGAGCATGGCTCAGATGGTAGAGCACCTGCCTGGCAAACTTGAGGCCTGAGTTTGAACCTTAGTACCTAGTACTACCAAAAAAAAAAAAAAAAGAAAATGTCCTTGCAGTTTGGCCTCTGCCAAGGAGGAAATCCATAAAACCCACACACAGTTTCCTGGTGGTCAGAAAAATGTGTATGCGTTGGTGTCTATTGACTCGGTGCATGGGCCACGAGAGTGTATACAGCAGACCATCTGTGAGTTGGACACTAGGACACCCAAATTCCTTCAGGGACCTGGGGCCAGATGCTCCAGCTCGTGGTCCTCTCTCCTGAACTCTGCTGGTCAGAACATTGATTCACAGATTAACAGCCCAGGGCAAGAATGGTGGGTGGCAGCTTTTGTTCTACTGGGCAAAATGGGACTTCAGAGCCTTTCTGTTCCCTTTTCTCCTGGGAGAGAAACCAACCCTTCTCTCCTCTCCTACAGGGTTGGGCCCCTCATTGCCCTCGCTGTTGCCCACTCTGTGACTGTGCCTGTGCCTGCCAGCTTCCGGACTGCCAGAGCCTCAACTGTCTGTGCTTTGAGATCAAGCTCCGATGAGGACCCAGGGGCCCTGGCCTTTGGGGAGTGGCCAGCCCCCGGGGCCCACGTGCCGACCTCCCTAAGGGTCCTTAAGACTTCTCTTCAGCCCCTGAATTACAAATGGCCTGCCTGGCTTGCCCACCTGGGAACCCCCAGCAGAGGGCCTGGCTCTCTTTAGGCAGGACTCTGAGAGCCCTTGGGCGCCTGGACTACAGCACTTTTAGAGAGTTGGAAGGGAGAGGGCTAGAGCTCTGGCTGGAGCCCCTGTCCTTTGTCCCCTCTCTAAGTAAACTGTTATATGTGAAGGTTGAGGGTGCAGGACACCGCTCACGACAGACAGCATTATGGGAGAACCCTAGTGGGCCTTAAGTATCAGGATATAGGGGTGCCCAACCACACCTTGTCCATGGTCTGCTATTTTAGGAGGTGAGTATCTTGCCTGCATCAGTAGGCTGTCCTGGAAGGGAGGAGGGGATCAGAAGGAACTGGGAGGCAGCAGGAGTCCATCCCACCCAACTCCCCTACTCTTTTCCGTCTCCACAGATTCCTGTCCAAAGATTTGTTTCTCTTGAAAAGCTAGAGCCTCAGTCTGGATTTCCAAAGAAGAAACTTCCTCTGAAGTACAGTGAGTGAGCAGAACCCCCCCTCCCCACGGGGCAGACCCAAGGCTTCCTCCTCCTTCCCCCACGCAGGGCCCCACGCTGGAATGAATGTCAGAGGCTTCAGGTTTCCCTAAATATAGGTCCCTGCCGCGGGATCCGTGGCGGGGAAAGGGCAGGGGTTACTGAGAAGGTTGGGGACACTGGTGCGGGGGAGGGCAGAGGCTGCCTTATAACCCAGCCCGGGGCCCCCTGGCTCACTCGCTGCAGACCGCGCTCCGCCGGCTCCTCCGCCTCGCCGCAGGTGGGCCGCTAGCTTGGAGCGGGTGGGGTTGGGCGGGCGAGGAGGGAAGAGCTGGCCAGAAAGAACGCGAGGTTCGGAAGTATCTGCGAGGACAGCTCGGGGACGGATGTTATTTTCGAATAGGAAATCAGGTTCAGGGGAGTTGTTCGCAGGAACTGTGGCCCCGCATCCCCGAGACTTGCTAGGCCAAGCCCTAGCCGGTCAGTTTCTGCAGTCTGGGTCTCAGCGTGGGTAAGGTGACTACCGCCCCGGGCGGAGAGCGCGTGCGCTTGGCCTTCCGTGCCGGGAGCTCTGAGCCCGTACTGCCGCGAGGAGCACTTGCTGGGGCGAGACCCCTTAGCGATGGGGAAGCCCCGCCGGCGCGCACCCTCTTCCGCGCCCTGCGCAGTCCAGCCCACCGGCGAGACCGGGTGACGCCCGACCTCGCCATTTGGTTACAGTGTGACATACGCTGCAACCACGCAGGCCGGAAGCTGGGGCTGCCGGGGCGCGGGGCTGGGAGGGGAAGCCAGCCTTCATCTCTTCTGACTTTTCCACCCTCTTCCCTCCACCTCCTTATCCCCATCTCCGCGGGTGCCAGAATTCCGGCTGAGTCACGGTGCACCAGAGCGCGCCAGCCGGAGAGTTCGGGGGGAGCAAGCGTGAGGGAAGGAAGGGCTCTGCGACCCGCGGGATGTGGCCCGAGTCACGTCCAAAGGGGGCGGGGGAGGAATCGTGTTCTCGCGGCCTCGTCCCCTCCCAGGCGCCGCCTCCTCATCTAGCATCTTGGGGCGGCCTTGCGCATAGTTCCTCGCCTGCTATTGGCCACCTCCTGCGCCCAACCAAGGAAAAAATCCGGCGGAGGGCGGAGCGGTGCCTTTAAAAGGCCCGGGCCGCCGCCTCCCTCCCGCCCCTTCGCCGCCCCCGCGGGAGGTGAATAGGCTGTGTTCTGTTGGAACGCGCCGCAGAACCGAGTCCTGGTGACCGTGGTCGCGTTCGTTCTTCAGTCCATTCGCTAGCCCGCCGCCTTCTGCCGCCGCCCCCTGCCAGCCCGCCCCCTCCCGTGCCAGGTGAGCGCCCCTTGCCACGTGCGAGGGTCAGGGATCGTGGAGAGGATGACGGGGCAGCTACGGGTCGGGGGTCCGCGTGGAGCCCCCACCCTCGCCCCAACATCTCTCCACTACCATCCCCCACATTCATGCTCTCAGCCCGGGCCCTCAGCCCTCCAACTTGCGCCCTCCGGGTCTGCTGCGCAACGCAGCTGCTCCGCGCGCTGAGTCATGGCGGGGGAGGAAGCAAAATGAGATGGGCCATTTCACTTTATTAAAAAAAAAAAAATCAGGGACCCCTGGGCAAAGCATTAAGGCCCCTTTGCCTCTGGAGAGATCCCAACCGGCAGCGAGGGGCTAGGGGACAGCTCATACACCGCCTCAGGGTTCCCGCAACGCGGGTGGGGGGAGGGGTTGGTTTCTGCCCCCTGCAGACCTGGTGCCCCTGCGAGGAGGGGGAACCCCTCAAGCAGCGTCTTATGACCCATTAACACTTCCCGTGTCTTTCCTTATCTGTGACCTTGATTCTAAGCCTGGAACAGCTGCAGCCCCTCAAACGGACTGGAGCATTTTTCAGGGAAGGGGTGGGGCGCGTGCCTCTCTTCTACATCTCCCCTTTCCTTGTATGAGCAGTGGGAACGAAAAACCTTACCCTTCCCTCTACCTGGGCTGGGTTTGCTCCGCTGCCCTTTTCCTGGGCCTCTAATTGCCCTCCTACCTTTTTTAATTCCCTACTTCTAACACCCTGGTTGTAGGGAGGGACAAGTCTGACCTTGGAGTGTCCTTGAAGCCTGGGCCAACCTCGGATTCTTGGGTGGATTGGAAGGGACACCCATTGGCAGTCAGAAGATCTGGGTTCTAATCTCAGATCTTGTGCTGTGTGGCTCCTGCACAGACCTTTCCCTTTTGTGGGCCCTTTCAGATGAGGGTATTGGGGCTCTCTGCCCTACTTATGACCTTTAAATTCTAAACTACTACGTTCGGTTTTGTTTCTAGGAAGGTGACCCTATGACAACTCGCAGGCCAGAAGGGTCCGGCTTCAACGTGACCCACCTATCCCTGGCTCTGGCTTTTTCCTTTCCCCCAGTTGTCAGTGGGCGATCCCACGCTCAGATGGGCAACACCCAGCCACAGACAGAGTTAGGAAAGGTACAGGAGGAGGCAGGCTTAGTATAGGGAAGTCGGGTGTAGGGAGAGCTGGGGACAGGAAGTGCCCCAAGACCTGCTGGGTGTGGGGCAGGGGAGGTCCAGAACACCTGCCCTGACCTCCAGGTAAGGGCCCTGTCCCTAGGAATCCATGGGAAGGCCCAGCTGACCACACCTCCCCATGCCTCCTCTACCTAGGAACTTGCTACCATTGGCACCATGCCCTACCCACATCCAGCGCTGACCCCAGAGCAGAAGAAGGAGCTGTCTGACATTGCCCACCGCATCGTGGCTCCGGGCAAGGGCATCCTGGCTGCAGATGAGTCCACCGGTGCGGTATGGGCAGGAGACAGGGAAGATTGCCCAAGGTTGGGAGGGGCAGGCTGATCCCCTTACCCTCCCATGTGACACATTCCCAGGAAGCATCGCCAAGCGGCTGCAGTCTATTGGCACCGAGAACACCGAGGAGAACCGGCGCTTCTACCGCCAGCTGCTGCTGACTGCCGATGACCGTGTGAATCCTGCATTGGGGGGGTCATCCTCTTCCATGAGACACTCTACCAGAAGGCGGATGATGGGCGTCCCTTCCCCCAAGTTATCAAATCCAAGGGTGGTGTTGTGGGCATCAAGGTGAGGGGGTAGGGCTTCAGACCACAGGGTGATCTGGGGGTAAAGAAATACAGATTAATAGGTCAGGGGGTGAATACCAGTTGGGGTAGAGTGTTGGGTGGAGTCCACCCAGACTTGAGGAGTTTATTTGGCACTTTTTTTTTCTTGTGGCTCTGGGGATGGAAACCAGGGCCTAATGCATAGTAGGCAAGTGCTCTGCCACTGAGCTCAATTATAAGACCAAGGTGTTTTCCCATTTTACAGATAAAAATCAGAAGCTCAGGGAGGTAAGATGGTTTGCTGAGTTAGTAAGTGATAGAACCAGGTCCTTTTGACACCCAATCTGTTAACATTCCCAACAAATAATATCCCAATGTGTCCTGCTTCACGGGCCTGGGTGCTGTGACTAATGGGACTGTTTATGCACCAGAAGGGGCCTCATGAGAGATTAAGTGAGGGTGAGGGAGAGGGGCACTCTAGAGGATAGGGTGCTAGAGATCATTGCCACCTCTACTCCAACAGGTAGACAAGGGCGTGGTGCCCCTGGCAGGAACCAACGGCGAGACCACCACTCAAGGTGAGAACTGTTTGGCTCCTTCCCCTTCCCATCCAGCCCACCCAGGCTGGTACCATCTTGGCAGGAGTGAATGGAGCGACACATATTGTCCCTTTCTCTTCCAGGGTTGGATGGGCTGTCTGAGCGCTGTGCCCAGTATAAGAAGGATGGAGCTGACTTTGCCAAGTGGCGTTGTGTGTTGAAGATTGGGGAACACACCCCCTCAGCCCTCGCCATCATGGAAAATGCCAATGTTCTGGCCCGTTATGCCAGCATCTGCCAGCAGGTGGGACTGGACTGCAGGTCCCACTTCATTTGGCTCCAGTGCAGGCTAGCTTTCCACCCATCTGCTAAGATGCCTACCCGCCCCCATTGCGATTGCTCCTGGTACCTAGCAAGCAATGGGCTGCCCACGGAGGCTACTTGGCGAGGCAGAGGGGCAGAACAGGAATCGTGTGGGCAGATCTGAGATGCCTGATTTTGCCAGTAATCCACTGAAGGCTTTGAAGCCTGAGTTCCTGTCATCAATAAGATAAGATCTTTGCTAATGGCTGTGGGAGCTATAGGTGGGGTTTCAGATTAGGAGGCCTCACTGCTCTGTTCCTCCCCCTTGCAGAATGGCATTGTGCCCATTGTGGAGCCTGAGATCCTCCCTGATGGGGACCATGACTTGAAGCGCTGTCAGTATGTAACCGAGAAGGTAGGTGGCTTGTCTGTGTGACCAGTGTGGTGTGGAGTGGGCTGGGGCACTGGGCTCAGTTCCTGGGCTAACCCTTGTCCTCTACTCCACCCACCCACACCTTGACCCTGTCCTGCTTCAGGTGCTGGCTGCTGTCTACAAGGCTCTGAGTGACCACCACATCTACTTGGAAGGCACCTTGCTGAAACCCAACATGGTCACCCCAGGCCATGCCTGCACCCAGAAGTTCTCACACGAGGAGATTGCCATGGCCACTGTCACAGCACTGCGCCGCACAGTGCCCCCCGCAGTCCCTGGTGAGGCCTGTCCCCTCATCTTGCCTGCAGAGACAGAAGAACCGACCACAACCCTGATCCCAGTTGGTCGGCTTTTCAGGGAAGCTCCTAGGGGCAACCCAGCCAGCTGACTAAAACCCTCCCCTTGCTTTGGCCCTTGTTCTCCAGGGGTCACCTTCCTGTCTGGGGGGCAGAGTGAGGAAGAGGCATCCATCAACCTCAACGCCATCAACAAGTGCCCTCTGCTGAAGCCATGGGCCCTGACTTTCTCCTATGGCCGAGCCCTGCAGGCCTCCGCCCTGAAGGCCTGGGGTGGAAAGAAGGAGAACCTGAAGGCTGCCCAGGAGGAGTATGTCAAGCGAGCCCTGGTAAGGTGGCTTGGAAGGTGGGTGGGCAGGCGCCTGGTGGGTGGAAGGGGCTCTGAGGAGAGACATTCTCACTTGCCTCCTCTTCCCTCTTAGGCCAACAGCCTCGCCTGTCAAGGAAAGTACACCCCAAGTGGGCAGGCGGGGGCTGCAGCCAGTGAGTCCCTCTTCGTCTCTAATCATGCCTACTAAGCCATGGTGTTCTAGGCTGCCCCCACAACACTCCAGGCCCCTGGCCCACCTACTTCCTCTTGAGGAGGGGGCCTCATTGGGGCTCCAGGCTCTTTCCCATCACTCTTGCCTCCCTCGTGACTTTGGTGTGTGGTGTTGTCTGTGAGCGCTAACTCCATCACCCCTTCCAGCCCACTGCCAATAAACAACTATTTAAGGGGGAGTCTGTTGTCCATGTCTGTGATATTAGGGCAGGGGTGAGCCTGGGGAGGTGGCTGAGTCCAGAAAAGGAAAGAACTCTTTTGTGTTCATCCTTCCTGGACAGAAAAAGGGGTAAAGGGATTGAGGTAAGGGACTTCCTGCTTGATAGGGTCTTAGAGAAAGGCAGAGAGTTTGTGAAGTTTTCTTCTAGCCACTAGGTGCTCCACGCCTTTTCACCACCTACATCCGATAGGGCTGGAAGTTGTTCCCGGCTGTGCAGGTGTAAACTGCTCAAGGCATAAGAGGAAGCAGTCTTGGCCTCACTTGTAGGCCCAAAATTCAATGGTACAGAAACCCCCAGTGACAAAGCCATCCCTGTAAAATCTGTCCTTCCCTAAGTGCCAGGAGACACAATAGGTGTTCTTTCAATAGGTGTTCCAATTTTTTTTTTTTTAATTCATACAATTCAGCTTGGCACTGATGGCTCAGGCCTGTAGTCCTAAGCTACCCAGAAGGCAAAGATCAGGAGGATCGAGGTTCGAAGCCAGCCTGGGCAAATTGTTCACAAGACCCTATCTTGAAAATAGGGTCTAACATTAAAGGGCTGTGGAGTGGCTCAAGGTGTAGGCCCTGAGTTCAAGCCCCAGTACTGCAAAAAAAAAAAAAAGGAAAAAACTCACACAATTCATGGTAAAGGTCTCACCCAAGACTGCGCTGTTTCTTGGTAGAAACAGGGCATTAAATGCGGATCTCCTTAATCTACACTATTGAGCTTTCTGTTTTCTCATTGTAAGAGGAGATGGTGGGCAGGGCATGGTAGCACCTGCCTGTGATGCCAACTACTTGAAAGGCAGGGGAAGGAGGATCTCAGTGCCAGGCCAGCCCCAGCCAAGTAGTTGTGAGACCCTATCTTCAAACTAGAACCAAAAAAGAAGGGTGTGAAGCTAGGCATGGTGGCTTAAGCTTTTAATCCTGGGTACTAAAGAGGCAGGGGCAGTAGGATCTCCAGTTTGAGGCCAGGTGGAGCAAAGGTAGCCACAAGACCCTGTCTGAATAATAATAAGGGCTGGGAATATAGTTAAAGTGATGAGTGCTTGCCTAGCAAGCTTGAGGCCCTGGAAGGGCAAAAAAAAAAAAAGGAATTAGAAATGGTTTCTTAAGTCTCCTTTGGGTTGAAGAAAGAATCCAGAGTCCTCTTCCACAGCCCCCTCCACAATGCAGATAGGCACAGAAGTTTAACTGTGGAGCTCCCAGGCTTCAGAATAAGAATAGAGCCTGAGTGCTGCATTCCATGAAGCCAGAATGGGGGCCCATACTAAGCATTCACCTTGAACCTTGCCAATCCCCCAGTCTTGAGTGTAGCAGTCACTATACCAGTTTGTAGCTGCTGCAGATCCTAGCTATAACTAGAGAACTGTTTAGTTCTGCCATTTCCCTAATTTCCTGCAACCTCCTTTCCCCCACCTTTTCCTGTTATGGGTCCTTTCCATTCTGAGCTCTCCTGGAGGGGGAGGGAAGGAATCATGACCTTTCTAGACCTACAGAATCCCTGCTATGATCCACATACAACTGGCTTACCTGTGACCTTTCAGGAATTTAGAAACTTAGTCCCTCCCGTCTGCACATTTCTATCTTTTGCCTACATCCAAAACCAAACCTAGGACTGGGGGTATGGCTCAAATGTTAGAGCACCTGTCTAGCAAGCACAAAACCTTGAGTTCAAATCCCAATACCGTAAAACAAACCTGAGTGTGTAGCTCAGTGCAGGAGTGCTTGCCTAGCATTCACGAGGCATTGCCAAAACCCCAAACCCATTCCTAGCATCCCAACTCTGGGAAAAAATCTAAAATAAAACTAAAGGTCAGCAGAAGATGGCAAAAAGAGGCTGAAGTGGAAAAGCACTAGCCTAGCACACAGGTCTTGGGTTCAATTCCCATTAGGGGGCCGGGGAGAACAAGATGGCAGAAAAGACATTTCCAAAATGGAATATGATGTGCAGAGTCTGGAGAGATGATTTAAAGAGCAGTAACTTTCTCTGCCTGCTTCAAGAGACTAGGGAAACAGAGGACTTTAAATGCCTGTTTGGGGAGTGTTGGCAAATTATGACAATCTGAGATCCACAAAGGGAAGTCAGAGACAAGTAGAACTGAAAACACAATTTTCCTGAAGGGTTCAAATCTCAACCTTGGTTCAAATAGAAAATTTTGGTCATGCAACCAAGTTACTAAGCCTCTCTGAGTCAGTTTCCTCTTATGAAAAAAAAAAAAATTAGCAAATAGAAAGCAACTGAAGGGTACTGGGGGAATCATTTTGGAACCAAGGGCCAGGCTGATAGGCACAGGCATGGTGTGGGAAAGGGATCTCTGGGTTTGTTTTGTTTTGTTTTGTTTTTGCCGTACTGGGGTTTCAACTTGGGGCCTACACCTTGAAGCCACTCCTCCAATCCTTTCTTGTTAGGCGAATGTAATAACCACTACACGACAAAAACGGAGATTACCAGCTCTTTTTTGTGATGGTTTTTTTTGAGATAGAATCTAGCAAACTATTTGCCCAGGCAGGCTTTGAACTGCTATCCTCCTGATCTCTGCCTCGAGTAGCTAAGATTACAGATATGAGCCACTGGTGCCCGGTGGAACCTCTTTTTTTTTTTAACGCAGTCACACTATGTAGCCCAGGTTGGTCTTAAAGTCTGGATCCTCCTGCCCTACCCTCCCACGTGCTGGGATTGTAGGCGCGTCCCACCACGCAGGACCTAAGTGGGTTCCTTTTGTCCCTAATTTCGGAGCTCCTTCATGGTAAAGATTTCTCTGGGGCAATGGGAAGAGATTTAGGCTGGGATTTCTTCACCCACTGTTTACTGTGCCAGGCCTTCTAGGCGATGGCGCTGCAAGGCTGAGTACATCAGTGTCACCCCTCGGAACTATAGTGAGGGAGGCGGACTACTAAACCAGGCAAACGGCAGCGTGTAGTGGGACGAGGCAAGCCTACCGGAGCTCAGCCCACGGGTGTCCCTAACTGAAGCAGCAGGAACAGGTCTGGGTCCCTTAGCCCCAGCAGAGCCCGGTCGCAGCCAACTTCCGGTCCCTGGCGCTCCACGATTCCCAGCCCTGAAAGCGACGAGAAGGGCGCGGCGAGGGCGGGAGGCGTGTGTATGACGCCACATCCGGCGCGCGGCGGAACTGGCCTCTCTTAGTTTCCGCGGCGGGGCCGGAAGTAGAAGCGGCGGTGGCGGCGGCCCAAAGCGGAGGGAAGGAGGAAGGCAAGGAGCCCGAGAGCCCGAGCCGAGGTCGCAGCGGCGGTAATAGTCGGAGGCTCCTCTAGGCCACCGTCCTTAGCGCGGGACCGCGGGGTTCGACGGGAGTTAGCGAGGGGGGGCGGGGGCGGTGCGGCCAGGGCGGTGGGACACTGGGGGTCCCCGGGCCGATGTGAGGGGAGGCCGGGGTGGGGGGGCTCCAGGCCAGCCCCAGAATCGAGTCGCCCCCCCAGCCCCCCGCACCTACACTCTGACCCGCGCGCTCGTCTTCGCTTTTCCCAGGAGACCCCTGTGCGGTGCGGAGGGGGCGGAGGCCCCGACTCTGACCCGCGCCGGGGGAGTGGGCCATGGCGGAGATCAGCGACCTGGACCGGCAGATCGAGCAGTTGCGGCGCTGCGAGCTCATCAAGGAGAGTGAAGTCAAGGCCCTGTGCGCTAAGGCCAGGTGAGCCTACTGTGCCCCGGATTCCGACCCGGGACAAACCCAACGGAGAAGTTTGGGTTTGCCCCATCTTGGAAGCTTCTCCCAGAAAGCAGCAGAATAGAGCCACCAGACGAGGAATAACTCGTCTGCCTGGGGGAGACGGACGTAGCTTAAGACACTTAAGTATTAGATGTTGCGTTTCCAGAGGAGTAAGAGAGAGTTGCAGAAAGTCCTTAAGAAACTCGGAAATGAGCCCCTGTGTTGGGGGCGAACAGAGAAGGGTTTTGGGAGCAGCAGCCTGACCTATAAGGAGGTGATTAAAGGATTGTGTCAGCAAGAAAGTTAAGGCAGGAAAGCAAACGACCCTGTGGTTTTTAATATTCCCATAATCCCAACAGCATCCTTTAAAGAGGAGGTGGTTTGTCCCCATTTTAAAAGTGAGGCCTCTCACTGTTCAAAATTACCAGCAAGGAAGGAAGGAAGGAGTGTGAAGCCAGTTCTCCTTGTCCTGACCTTTCCAGTTCCTAATGGAAAAAAGTGGCGTTGAATCACTCTCTTGTTATCATGTGGCCTTAGAAATTGTAGCAATTAAGCCTGATATTGGAGGAAGACCCAACTCAGAGTTCTGTGGGAAGAAGGACATAGTAGGTAAGGGTCCAGGTTTTAGAATGTGATGACTCTTAAGTTTGAACCTGAGCTCTGTCGCTAACTAACTGTGGTGATCTTGAGGTGTCTGGAACTCAGCATATTTGTGAGAGTGGAGATAATCATGCTTAATGATGTAGTTGTTCAGATTTATCCAGTGAGTTGGTGCTTGAGGTGAACTTGGCAGTGTTTTGTTACCATGTGAGTGCCCACAGTCAGGAGGTGGTGGTGGTGTTACTGTAGGGGAAGGCAGTGATGGGCTGAAGTTATCAGAGAATCTTATAAGTGAAGGAGGGCCTTGTAGGATGGAGATAATCTCACCAGCTGATGGGGGTACAACCCAGAGGAAGAGGATAGAATGGCAGTGGAGACCTGATACACAGGCAGCAATCAAGAAGGCTAATTCCCTGCCTCTGAGCAACTGTTTGTTGCTTCCACAAAGCTGAAGAATTATAGAAGAGGTGGAGAATTGACCCATTTATTGAACAGTCGACCAACTAGTAGCCAGGACCTGTACTGGGAAAAAACTTAACCTCCATCTCTTCCCCCACCCCCCATCCTGTGAGGTTGGATTTTGCTTGGTTTTACAGAACAGGAAGCCAGACTCGAGGCCAAGTGACTTGACTCAAGTTACTCAGTGAGGAAGTAGAACTGGGTTCTGAATCTGTGCCCTTGGGCTGTTTGGTTGGCTCTGCCCCACACACACTCACAGGCCCTGTGGCCAAACGGCCTGTGTGGGTTTGATGAACAGGCTTGGCTCCTTTAAAATGTTTGGTTGGAGCTCTTCTGTTTTGCCAGCTCAAAAAAAATCTCCGTGACCAGACCAGCTCTGGTATTTTTAGTTGTACCCTCTCCCTCAGCCCTGATTGGCCTTTTAAGGAACTTAAGCCATTTGCTGACTGGCACGATTCTTTGCCTGGTAAGTCTAATCTTCCTCACCAGGCTTGCATCATTGCGGAGGAAATGATAGGTAGTGTTGGGATAACATGCTGGAGTATCCAGGGTAGCAGAAGTTATATGTGCAGTCTCCATTATTCCTTGCAACAGCCCCATGGAGCAGGCAGGACAAGAGCAAGTTTTCCCCCTTTCACAGAAGGCCATACTGAGCCTCAGAGTAGATAATGTCTTGCCCAGTGTCACACGACTAGTTGGAGAGGAAGTCAGTTTTGGATCTGCATCTTTTGTGCTCCATGGTCATTGATAGCCAGGTAGAGGTATTTAGGTTTTCATGTGGCATGTGAGAGTCAGTAGGGAGCTATTGGGAACTGACAGGGGAGGGTCTTGCCCCACTGAGGTGCAGGTGGACCTAAGAAGTACTAGGTTGAGGCCTGAGCTGGCCGCTATTGTTCCAGGGTCAGCCTGAAGGGGGACTAACTGTAGCACTTGGCTGTCGCCTTCTGGGGACCCATCAGAGAGACTGGCTGAGGCTCGTAGTGTCAAGAGCTTCAGCTTGCTCAGAAAGTACAGAGACAAAATCAAACTGGGAACCATGAGGCCTGAGCTAAAATTGCTACTAAGAGTTAAGAGTGAGCATGCCAGGCGCTGGTGACTCACACATGTAATCATAGCTACTCAGGAGGCAGAGATCAGGAGGATTGAGGTTCAAAGCCAGCCTTGGCAAATAGTTTGAGAGACCCTATCTCAAAAAAATCCATCACAGAAAAGGGTGGTGGAGTGGCTGAAGTGTAGGTCCTGAGTTCAAATCCCAGTTCCGGGGCAGGGGTGGAAGGAAAAGAGCTTTTCTTTTGGAAGGCGCACTGGGATTTGAACTCAGGACTTCATGCTTGCTAAGCAGGCACTCTATGCCACATGAACCATGCCTCAAGCCAAGAGTGAACTTTTGAATCCCATGTCTAGTATGAATCTCAGCTCTGGCACCATTATCAATATGACCCTGGTCTAGTCATTTGATTGCTCCAAGTTTTTGAACTGATCATGAGGCTCATCATGGGCACTACTGTAAGTATGTTAGTTGTGGAAGTAAAGGTGAGCAGTTGCAGGTCACCACAGGGCTGGTGTTGTGTGGCAAGAGACATATCTGGGGTTTGAACCTGGACTTTGTTCTCAGTCTATGCTGGGGCCTTGCTAGCACTGAATTGGGTTTGTAAAGAGGAAAGGCCCTATGTGTACAGGGTTTCAACTTGGGGTCCGTGGAAGAGTCTGGCTTAAATTTTCAGGAAGCTGAGCTCAGGAAGTTTTAATTCAGTCACTCTCTATCTTCACGACCTTGATCCTGCCACTTTTCTCCAACTCTTGATTTCTTTGTCTGTCAGATGGGGATAAAAAGAGCCTCCCCAGTTGGTTGGGAAAATCATTGTACACAGTTGATGTGAAGTGCAGGTGGGAGAACCCAGGCATTGTTTTGGCCTCTTGGACCACTGCCAGAGCCTCCTCTTGCTCCCAGAGAGCTGATGTGCACCTCCTTTGCTCCTTTGTCACAGAGAGTGCCTCTAGGGACATCACTGAATCCTGCAGTTCCCTGAGCCCAGAAGACTCCCCGCTTAGTGGGAATAAAGAGACTGGCAGAAAGTATGAGGACTAGACAGGGATTGGGACCCTCCCCTGGCAAAATAGCTTGATGTTAAGAGTCAAACCCTGGAGCTGGGTCCTGGTTCAAACCCTGCATGTGTGACTGTGGCCACGCCAGCAGCTTCCCATGCTTCTTCACCTGCCCTTGCCCTGGGAGTCACTTGGGGACCCACCTTTCAGTGGTGTACGTCCATGCAGAAGTCTCCATATAGTCCCGGCATGCTATTCAGGCCACTGTGCTCTTAGTATCTGGGTACAATTTGGAAATGCAGCACTGCTCACACTGTTGTCTATAATCAGCAGTGACTTTTATCTCATACTCACTCCAGCAGAAGTAGACTGCACCACAAAGGAAATCCAGAATAAAGTCCTCACTGTCTACACATGCTGGGAATATAGGTATAGTTGGCCCTTTGAAGGTGCATGTGGTGGATGGCCTGTCCTGGACCCACACCACTGTCTTTGGGCAGTCTGAGAGAAGGGCCCAGTGATTGGTAGAGAGGGATGGCACAGCTTGGCCAAAGGAAGTCAAGGAGCACTTTAAGAAAACAGGGTCTCTGTTGGGGAGAGTATGAGACCACTTTTCAGGAGTGTGTGCTGGATTTGTGAGAAGAACAACAGGGTGTCAAGTCTGGAAAAGTTATAACCTGTTTGGAAGGCCTTGAACTTGAGCCAGGAACTTGGATTTTGTCCCGTTGGTGGAAGAGAGCTGTATGAGGGTGTTGGGTAGTGGAGGGCCGTGGCCAGCAGATCCTGGGGAAATTGCACACTTCATTCCTGTTCCCTGGAGGTTCAAGGACTACCTCATGTCCTCTCTTCCCCCCACCAAAAAAAAAAACCACAACTCAGCAGGGTTGTTCTGGCTGGGGTAACCCTTGTCTTATTCTGTCTCCAGAGAGATCTTGGTAGAGGAGAGCAACGTTCAGAGAGTAGACTCTCCAGTCACAGTGAGTACCCTCTGTCCCTGCAGGGCGTGGCTTGGTCCCTTAGGCACATAAATGTTCCCTGTAATGGCTTCATAATTCCACTTCTCGTTCCTGGGAGCTCAGAAAGCCCCATGTGTTTGTCCCTGTGTTTTTAAGGGAGCCTTGCTGTAAGAAGCGATGGGTCTGGGGTGTAACTCAGTGGTAGAGTACTTTCTAGTGTGGATGAGGGGTGGTATGGGAAGTTTGATTTAAGGGATAGGGATACTCTTGGTCAGGGCAGAAGAACTCTTATTAATTTGGTAAGTGATTCTAGTTGCATGTTTCTGTGGCCCCATGTTAGTAACTTTATGTTGCAAGCATCTGCGGAGTTAGGGAGAGAGGAGCCAAATCCCCAGAACAGTCAGTCTCAATGGAAATATTGCTTGGAGCAGCTGGCACTCGCTGTGTGGTGGTGGGTGATGGTGATGCCAGCTAACTTGGGGCCAGAGGGTGGACTTTTGGTCCTGAGACAAGCAGGGTAGCAAGAGATGAGGCTTTCGAAAGCAGTGGTTGTTTTGAGGGATAATCCCTGAGGATAAAGGGACTGTCCTTTGGTCAACTCTGAGTTCAGCCCACCTTCTTACTTCCCAGGTGTGTGGTGACATCCATGGACAATTCTATGACCTCAAGGAGCTGTTCAGAGTGAGTTGGGAAGCAGTGGGTGTGGATGGACCCTGGGGGTGACTGAGATATCCACTTGCTGAGTGTAGGGCCCTTATTTTGGCGCATGCAGGCTGGTGGTTGATGGGCCCTGTGTGAAAGAAGGGCCTCAGCTGGATAAGATCTGTGCTGCCGCAGTGGGAGGGGCGGTTTAGGGCCAAGCAGAACCATCTCCTTCCCCTAGGTGGGTGGCGATGTCCCTGAGACCAACTACCTCTTCATGGGGGACTTTGTGGACCGTGGTTTCTACAGCGTTGAAACCTTCCTCCTGCTCCTGGCACTCAAGGTGAGAATGCCTGGGTCTGGAGTCCTTGCCTGGGTCACCTAGGCAATCCTATATCCCATCCTCCCCACCCCCAGCTCCCTACTTCTGACGGTGGGACTTCTTTTTAGTGAGGCTGGTCAAAGACAATCACCTCAAGTTGGTTCATTGTACTAGCCCTGAGAAGAGACTGGCAGGATGAGGATAGGAATAGAGATTCTATGGTCAGGAGGTGGCAGCCTGGAGTAGAACCACAGGATCCATTGAGAGGCAGTAGGGGCCAGAGGGCCTTGGGTCTTGCTAAGGACTTGGGTTGGGGGTATAAGTAAAAGAGGAGCCGTTAGGTTGTAGTTGGAGGGCCGGGGGTGTGTTTGTGTCCTATGGAGGAGGCACTGGCAGGGAGACTGTGAGGCAGTGGTGTACCAGGATTCACACAAGAGATGGCACAATTCTGGGCCAGGACGGTGGTGAAATGGTGAGACTGACCGATGTGGAGACTGGGGAGAGCATAGGTAGAGAGGTAGTCTAGGCCCAGCCCTGGCTTCATGCCATCCCCAGGTCCGCTATCCTGACCGTATCACCCTGATCCGGGGCAACCACGAGAGCCGCCAGATCACCCAAGTCTACGGCTTCTATGACGAGTGCCTGCGCAAATATGGCTCAGTGACTGTGTGGCGCTACTGCACTGAGATCTTTGACTACCTCAGCCTGTCGGCCATCATTGATGGCAAGGTAGGCTGTCCTGGGGCTCCCTCTGGGGTGGAGCAGTGGGATGGGGTGGGGGGACTCTGGGCATTGCCTCCCTTCCTTCTGATCTTGCTTTCCCCTCTAGATCTTCTGCGTGCATGGGGGCCTTTCCCCTTCCATCCAGACCTTGGACCAGATCCGGACGATTGACCGAAAGCAAGAGGTGCCCCATGATGGGCCCATGTGTGACCTCCTATGGTCTGACCCTGAAGGTGAGAGTGGGTAGGTGCATGCCTGGGGCCAGGCATATTCACCCTTAGCTTGACAAGGCTGATTAAAGCAAGTGATTGAAAGGTCATTCAGGCTAGGGAGTCTGAAGAAGTACAGGACAGGGTAGGACCATGCTGATTTCATCTCCACACTGGGTGAACCCTCCACAAGGAGCAGACAACATGGGGGGCTAGCGTGTCAGCTGAGGGCTGGTCAGGGTGAACTCAGTGGCTCCCCTAAATGAAAAGGGGCTTCAGAACCTGACAGCTTCTTTGGAGGAAAGACACTCAGAATGGTCATTTTCTGAGGGATCCCTCATTTTGTGGGGTTCCTTTCTAGCAGGGAACAGAGCTGAGATTTAAAGTCAGGGCTCTCGGGTGCTGGGCCAAGCCCAGCCTCCCTTCTATCTCTTCCACTCCCAGGTGGCCCTGATGTGGCATAGATGACCGTACCCTGCAGTTTGGGATAGTCCTTATTCATACCCTGTACTTTCAGGATGGTTTTTTGAGAGTCTCGGGCACCATTTGAACTGTACGTTGCGGTCACTGTGATGATGAGGCGGCCCCAGCCACTAGGCATTCCGCGTAGCTCTTACCTGCTCAGACATTTGCTGTCCTGTCCCTAGAGCCACTGGGACATGTCCAGGCCCCACAAACCTCTGGTCAGTTGGAGAGGGGACAGGATAGTCACCTCCAAGGGCAGTGGGTAACTAGAGGAGCCTTGGACCCTCCTCTCCCCAGCCTTACCTTGCTTGCCTCAGACACAACAGGCTGGGGCGTGAGCCCCCGTGGGGCCGGCTATCTGTTTGGCAGTGACGTGGTGGCCCAGTTCAATGCAGCCAATGACATAGACATGATCTGCCGTGCCCACCAACTGGTGATGGAAGGTTATAAGTGGCACTTCAATGAGACGGTGCTCACTGTGTGGTCCGCACCCAACTACTGCTACCGGTGAGCTAGCAAGGCCGGGAGGTCAGGGTGGGGTTGGGGATCCAGGTCAGCCCCCCCTAACTGCGGCCCCTATGTCTAGCTGTGGGAACGTTGCAGCCATCTTGGAGCTAGATGAGCATCTCCAAAAAGATTTCATCATCTTTGAGGCTGCTCCCCAGGAGACACGGGGCATCCCCTCTAAGAAGCCTGTGGCCGATTACTTCCTGTGACCTTCGGCCTGCCTCTCAGCCCCTCTGGCCCTTGGACCACTGTGACTGCCCTCTCTCCAGTCGGAGGCTGGGCGTGAGGGGCTGCCCCAGCTCTGCTCTCCCCAGGGTGAGGACTTTCTCTGGAGAGATGGGAGCCTCGGCCCCAGGCTCCCTTCTCCTTCTCCCCACTCAAACCATGAGGTTTCGTCATTTCTTGTTTTTCTTTTTTCCTTTTTTTTTTTTTTTTTGTTTTTAGATAAAAGTTTTGAGAAAAAAAAAGAAAAAAATTCTAATAAAAGAAGAAAAATGGGGGTTTGTGTCAGACTTGATTGGGGAGGAGCAGATGCTGGCATCAGGACCTTGTCTTCCTCACCCCTAACCCTGCCAGAAGTCCAGGCTAAGGCTGGTTGCCCAGAGCCTCAGGCAGGTCCCCGCCCGGCAACTGCTCCCTGAAGCCTTCCTCAGAGCCAGGTAGCAGGTGGGTTCCATGATAGACTCCTTTAATTCTCAAAACAACTAATGTTAGGGATTCCTCTGGCTTCCTGAAAAGGAAACAGGCCAGAGCAGGTTGATTTACTTGCACAAGGTCAAACAGCTGAAAAAGTGGCAGTTCCGAATCTAGCCTGGGTCTCCCTGCCATGCATTGGCTTGCCCAGCCCCTCCCAGGGCCAGCACCATTAACCCAAAGTGTCCTTTGAGTTTTATTAACAAAAATACTCTTCTGAGAACAAACTGGTATGGCCTGGCCAGGGGGGTCAGGAGGTGGGGGTGCTGGACTTGTGGGCCCCATTTGGCCAGGCAGAGCATCCCTCCATTCACACCAAGGTGAGAGCCGGGAAGGGGAAGCTGGCCCCAGCTGGACTCCCAGCAGCCTCCCTGGGCTTTGAAGCCAAAGGGGGTGGGAGCGAAGTCAAGGTGTGAAATGGGGAGGGGGCAGGCCCAAGGCAGCCATTTGGCATGGGGGAGGGGGCTGAGGGAATCCTGGCTGGGGGAAGGGAGCTTGGTCAGGGAAGGTGGCACAGGGCCCTTCCATGGGTCAGTACATTGGTTTGGAGCCCACATCTAGGAACCCCCCAGGCCCTGGGTATGGGAGGGGAAAGGGGCCCCCTTGGAGGAAGTGCGGGGCAAAGGATGAGGTGGGTGGAGCTCCTGGGTATCCTGAGCCCCCTGGTCCAGGCTGCAGCTCTAGGAATGAGGCTGAGTAGGAAGCTGAACGCCCAGAGTCCGGAGCTTCAGGGAAGCCAGGGTTTCTGAAATGGAGAGGTGTCAGAATGGAAGATGGACACCACCTGGAGCAGCCCAGCCCTGTTCCTTTGTCCCCTTACCTGGTTGGTAGGTGGCCAGGGGCACCATGGAAAGCTGCAGGGTGCCGGACATAGGCTTCGGCACTGGGTCCTCCACGGGGAGGAGCTGGGGCAGGGGCAGCTTCCCGGGGGACTGGGTCCTGCTCTGGTTCTGACTCACGAATGTCCCCACCCAGTGTGGAGTCACAGGGACCCCCTGGTGTATCTGGGGAGACAGGAGGGACAGGTTGAGTTAGGGAGGATCAATGTCTTAATGCTGGCCCCATCAGCCTTGGGACATGCTCACCTCCACTCCCATAGGCCTCTGTGGCTACTAGCTCTGGGCCCCGAAGTTTCCTTTTCACACGGGCATCTCGCTCCCTGGGGGAATAGTAATGATGATGATGAGGGAACTAATAGTACTTACTAAGTGCCAGGCATTTCACCCTCCCAGGGACTCAGGTAGGTGCCAGTATTATACCCATTTTACAGACGAAGGAACCAAACAAACGCAAGAGAATTAAGCAACTAGGCACAGAACTGGGATTTAGGCACCACTGAAGCTTTCCAGTACTTTTCTACGGCATTTAGAATCTGTGGCAGTCCCTTCCTCCCCTGTCTTCTGCCCCAGCTCCACTAACCACATTGCAGCCTCTTGGGAATCCTCCGTCCCCTCTGCACCTGCCCAGCTCATCCTTTCTGTCAGTTTCAGCCTAACTTCCTCAAGGATGGCCTCCCCACCTTCCTCATGACATTTCTGTTGTGCTTCCACAACAGTCATTCAGTGAGCCTTTGCTTTATGACAGACTGTAAGCTCCCCAAGGGCAGGGGTCAGCTCTGAGGGACTGCACTCAAAATAGATGTCCCAGTAGTTTTTCACTGTCCAACCCAATCTGGTTTCCCATCCCTGCCTGCCTTGCATCCTCACTCCACTCTTGCCCTCTGGAGGCCTCAGGGGCCTGCCACTCCCTAGCATGCTTTTCCCCAGATGCAGGCATGTTCCCTTCTTAATGCCTTATTCAGAGGTCCTCAGGGAAGTCTCTCTAGACCTCTTATCTAATAGTTCACCCCAGTCGCACCCCTGTTATATTTTTCGTCCTGTTGGGGATGGAACCCAGAGCCTTGTGCATGCCACACCCAGGTCTTTATCTTTAGAATATTCTCAACTTTGTAGCAGCTTGTTTGCCACTAGTGTATCAGTCAGTTCCCTGTGGACAGGACAGTCTTAGTATTTGCAAAATCAGTGACTGAATAGGTGTTTTTTAGCATTGTGTTCCTGGCACATAGTGACGGGTGAGTGAGTGAATGAACGAGCGGTGCCCACCTCTTGCAGTTTCTGCCATTCTCCCGGAAGCCTTTGGCAAAGGGATTGGCTGCAATCTTCAGTTGTGTGATCTGGGGGCACACATTGAGGTCAAGACTCCTGCAGCCTGGGTGGGATGTAGCCACCCCCCTTCAGGGGTCACTCACCCTTGGGTTCTGGTAGGCAGTCACTGAGATGAAGGTGGTCTCAGGGAAGCGGAAGGAGGCCACGCCCCCCCAGTGCTGGCTGCAGAGCTGGGCAGCCCGCACCAGATGGATGCGGGGCTGGTACTTGTGCATTGAGTGCAAGATCAGCTAGGAGGGAAGAAATGTGGGTAACTCGCTGCCCTGAACCCCACCTAGCCTTCCACCCAGCATCCCCCCAGCTCCTATCCTGGGATCCCAGTCTGGGCCTCACGTGGCCATGGGGATCCAGCGTGCTGTTGGTGAGCTTGACGCGGTGGAAGGACACCGGCTGCCGCATCCAGTGGGCACCCGTGGCGGGAGAATCAGGGTGAATGTAGACGCGGTCAGGCAGCCGAGGCTCTGCCTTGCCGCTGGGCTCCCAGCGCCGGCCCTGCCAGCGGTAGCGAGCTCCATCCACTGGAACCACATCCAGAAGGAACAGGTATCGGGCCTCCGGGTCCAGTCCGGTGACCGACACTCGGCAAGCAGGGAACATACGCCTGCACAGGGGACAGGAAGGGAGGCCTGGAGCCGGGCCCTGCACCAGGAGGGGGTGCCACAAAAACTTCAAGGGAGGCAGAATCAGACCCCAGAAGGCAAAATCTAAAGGCTTGAAAGCATCTCAGCCCATTTTACAGATGGGAAACAGGTCATGGGACTGGACTGGAGTCCCACAGCAGGATAGGAACAGAGCCTAGGCTTTGGAGGACCAGACCCTCAAACTCCACTGGCAGAAACAGTGCTGAATAGCTTTTTCCCTTGAAACCTTCTCAGGAGCTCCTTCCACCTCAGTTCCCTCATCTGCTTTCCAGCACAAGACCCACAACTGTTACACAAAATCGCTTCAGGAAAAAACACCCCTGATCCTGAGGAGGATTTACTGCTGCTACACACTGACTGCTTCGCTGGACCTAGTCACATATTGCTTCCTACTCAAGTCACACACTCACCCCTGGATCCTGGACAGATTTCCCTAATGCTGGTCACTGACTGACCCTTGACCCCAGTTAAGTCGGAACCCTGATTCCAGTCACAGGCGGATACCTGATCTAGGTCACACACTAACCTATAACCCAGACAGACTTCCTGCCCCTGGCCCAGACTGACCCTTGATAGATTGGCTCCTCAATTCAACCACAGACTGACCCTTGACCCTTGCCACCAAATAACCCCTGATGCCATCCAGGGTCATCCGTGCCCAGGAGATTCTGAACTCAGAACTCCAGCCCCGGAGAAACCCCCAAGCCCAGCCCAGCCCCAGGAACTTTTGTCTTTCCTGAGACCCCAGCCGAAACTCTTGGCCTGGCCCTCACCTGCCGGCCTTCGTGATGATCATCTCTGTGCCCACAGCGCTGAACTCCTTCCACAGCCCCTGGTTCTCCAGGCTCAGGCTGACCCCAGGGAGCGAGTGAAGGGCCTCTGCAGCCGGCGGGGCTGGCTCAGTGCCCAGGGTTGGGGGCAGAAGGGGCAGAGGTGGGGGCGCAGTCAGGGTGCGAGGAGCAGCCTCAATCCCAGACAGGAAACAATCCAGTTTGGGGGTGTCCAGATCTGGAGATGTGGGAAGAATGAGGAGCCAGCCAAGGGCCACACAGCCCCCAGCTCTCTACCCAGAGCCGGTCCCACCGCTCACCAGGGTAGCGGTAGCCCTCTGCCAAGGCAGGCGGGAAACTGGGGTCCGCCCCCGACTGGGGGTGCCCCAGACGGTAGCCAGTCCCCAGAGAGGGATACAACTCTCTTGGATGGTACATGCTGTGGTTCCTTCTGGCCTCAAGTCACGTTGCTAGAGTCCCCGGGTGCGGAGTGATGCCCCTTTATAGCTCACAGCTCAGCCCCTTCCAGACCCGAGATCACAGCCCCTCCCCTCTTTGGGGCCCTGGAGGTGGGCTGGAGTGAAGACCCCTGGGGCCTCGAAGGGGTCCAAGAGGGGGCCGGATACCTGGGTACCCTCCCCTCTCTCCTTCCCTCCTGGGCGGCTTCATTAGCCCCGACCCCCTGCCCCCTCATTACATAATTAACTCCTCGGCCTGATTGATCCCCAGGGCTCGGACAGGGACGCAGTTTGGCGCTTCCGGCCAGCTGGTCCCCGTTCCCACGGGGGGAGCCCCGGCTGGGAATAAGGTAGGGGGCGGGGCTTGGATCCTGGGACCGAGCCTAGGGCAGTCCCAGGCACCCTAGACTTTGTGGCAGGTAAGCCCCGCCCCCCCCCCCCCCTTCACTTGGAGATCTGGCCTGGCAGGGAAGAACAGTAACTGGAGTGAAAGTGCAGGGTCCTGGAGGGACATGGCCAGAGCTGATTCCGTGGGACACTGGAGACCAGAGGAGTCCGCAACAGAGGACTGAACCCTAAAGTCCTCTAGTTTCTATTCTGAAAAACTTCCACTCTCCATCAAGTCTCAAAAGTCGAGGGGGCGCGCGCAGTTCAAAAAGTCTCTGACGTCTTGTGCAGGGTTGCTTAGAAGGTCCCGCCGTGAGGAGCCCTACGAACTACAATACCCAGCGGGTCCCGCGCCGAGGCGCACGCGAAGGTCGCAAGCAGGTCGCGCTAGGGTCGCTGGGAGTTGTAGTCCGAAAGAGAGTGGCCGTGCGGCTGCACGGAGGCCTGTCAGGGGAACTGCCCCTAGGCGGCGGCCAAGCACTAAAGCCAAGAAGCCGCATATCAGCCGAGGTCAAGGCCTAGTGGGCCAGTGTAGGCTTGGCTATTGCCACCCACAGTGGAAAACAGTTTGGAACGCCGTGCCTATGCCAGGCCCTGCTAGGGCTCAAAACGGAACAGGTCTATAGGGGCAAGAGTCTAAATTTGAGGTCCCCTTTCCAGATTCCACGTGAGCCTGGGACTGTCTCCACTTCATTGTTTTATTATGTACAAACGCTACAGAACGAGGGGAACAGACACGCATGGGGTAAGACAGACCCGGTGGGAAGAGACGTTCACAGGACAAATAGTGCACTGGGGCCAAGAGAGCAGCACACAGGCCATATCTATGGGGCAGGCGGGACAGGAAGGGGTTAAAAACGAGATCCAAGCCAGCCAGATCGCAGGGAGGTGCGGGGGTGTTGTCCCCTTTCTGATCTCCCCCCAAGGTCACAGTGCATGCAATAAAATATATGTACAAGAGCTGGATCCTTCCTCTGCAGGAGCCCTGCGAGTCCAGAGCTCCCTTCAGGCGAGGGGAGGTGGTGGCGCCCCCTGGCGGCCAGGCCAGGCTGGAGCCACATGCGTCAGGAGCAGAGGTCAGTCCCAGCCGTTGTCTTTGATCATGTGGTTGAGTTCAATGATGTACTTCCCCTCTTTGTACTTCTGGCTGCTCTCAAAGGCCTGCTCCTGAAAGGAGGGGAGGGGCCGTCATCCTGGAGCAAGAGCTTTACCACAGGCATAGAAGTTGGGCAGTGGCTAGGAGGAGCCCCATTTTACATATGAGTAAACTGTGGCTCAGAGAAGCCAATCAACCTGCCCACTGACATGGCCGGCAAACAGCAGGGCTGTTTCTCTCACTAACAGGGAGTATGGAGAACTCTGAATCATTGGGTACCTTTAGAACATAATGACAGCGTCACCAGAGAGGATATGGAAGTACCTAAAAGATTTCATAGTCCAGGGGTTGCAACTGGTGGCCTGAGGGCCATTTCAACCTACCTGTGGTTTTGTTTGGACAGCAGAGATTAAGATAAATAACTTTAGGGGTGAAGGGTATGTGTGGCTCAGGGGTACGACACATGCTCAAGGCCCTAGGAAAGATCCCAGCATTGCAAAAACACATCACACATAAACTTTAAAATAACCACAGAAATGCATGCCCGCTCCAGTTTGCCCTAGCAAGCTCCCCACCCCTTTTACAAATCCACAGTGTTTTCTTGGCCTAGCAAGCATTTGATTTTTTAAATCCTTGCTGTAGGCCACTTTTTTATTTTATAGCGGTCCAGAGAAGCCAAGCCACCTGACCAGAGTCACATAGCAAATCTGTAGCAGGGCCAGAGGTGAACTCAGGACAGGGCTGTCTGTCCATCTCTGCCTAAGGCATCCACCTCACAGAGACACTCCAAGCAATGCCTTGCCCAATCCTTTGCAGATTACCAAGAGCATCGTTTGCTACATCTAATCAGATGGACTAAATGACCTTGGGTGCCAGGTGGTGGCTTTATCTTCCAATGCCAGATAAGGAAATGACATTCAGGATAATGAAATCAGATCCTGGACAGGAGCAGAAGCAATGAGGGCAATGCAAACAGAAGGCTGTGGACCCGACTTCCACATTGCTCTGGGGCAACTTCTCTGAACCTCTGAATGACAATAAGCTGGTGCCCAAGGGTTTGCAGTTTAAAAAAAAAAAAAACAAAACCACATACAACTGGTATGGTGGTGTACACCTATAATCCACTCAGCACTCAGAAAGCTGAGACAGGAGGATTGCAAGATCCAGGCCAGTTTGGGCTACACAGTGAAACTCTGTCTCAACAACAACCAACAACCACCACAACAAAAAAAGGAAAAATTCCAAAGAAGCCATCTAGGATTATGGTCCCAATCCTGTGTGATCTTGGGCAAGTTGCCTAACATCTCTGGGCCTTCTTGTCTTCTATAAAGTATATGCCATAGATTCTATCTTCAGGACTGTTGTAATGATTGAATGAGTGCATACATAGCAAGCATGTAAATGGTAACTCTGTTTATACCTCACCTCTAAAATAGGGAGGGTAGTGCCTTTCAGGAAAGGGATGGGTTAAGGCGAAAATGTGAAAAGTCCTTGCAGGATTCAAGGGAAAAGAACACGGTCAGGGTTGAAGTTATGCACTCTGAAAGGTTACTCGATCGATCACTGTCTGTGAGGAAAAGGTGATGTCAGGTCTGTCAAAGGCTAGCCTGGGGTCAGAAATCATTCACTCACATATTTCCAGCCCAAAGTGGTCTTGCAGTTCTCACAGTGGATGTCAGCGACAGCATGGAGGCCTGTCAGCAACACCCGCTCCTCGGCTGGCCCGCAGCCCACGTTCACCCTGTGGGAACATGGGGCAGTCCCAGGGAGGGTCCCGCCAATACAGAGCCCCCCCTCAATCTTGCATCCATGGTATCTGTCCTTAGCCTCCAAGAGAGGGGTGATCATAGCTTCCTGCTTCAGCCAGGGGACTCTGGGAGTCTTAGCGTGATGGTAAGGGTCACAAGTCACAACAAAGCTGAATACTCACACAGAGTTGAAGAGGTAGGCACGCCCCTGACTGCCCTGGAAGGACTAAAGGGTGGAAAGGGGAAAAGAGAGTCAGCACTATTGATGGAGAGCTGCCAAGCAGCCCCTGTAGCCCCCATTCTAGTCTTAAATGTGGCCTAGTTACCTTGGAGATGAGGTCGTCGTGGTTGGCCAGGTGAGCGCGGCAGTGGGCACAGCTATACCTCCGATGACAATCATCCAAATAGGCCTGAAACGTCTTGGGCTTTGAAATCCGCACCATGGCGGGGGCCAGGGGCAGAGGCCCCACGCGGGGAGCGGCCCACGGGGAGCAGAGGGAGCCCAGTGCCTGCCAGGGAGGGAGTAGGTGGGCTGTCAGGGCCCCTAGCCACACACATGCAGGCACACCCAGAGCCACTGGGACTCTCTGTCACACTTGGCTGCTCTCTCCTTTCCCCAGAGCCAGCAGCCTCGCCAGGGACCAGAACCGTCTCAGCTTTGACTCAGTGAGGAGGCCTCAGGTTGCATCAATGGGGAAACTGAGGCTAGGAGGAGCTCCAGGTGAGTCATGCACCTGCTTCCGGCCTTATCCCTGCTGACCTGGCAGGTGAAGCTTGCAGGAAGGGGCTTCAGAGTGATGGGCTGTCAGTCCCCAGTTTGGTGGGGGGCAGGTATAAACTGGCTAGTCCTTGGACCTCATTTGGATTGCGGGTGGGACTACTTGGGGGTACAAGGAGTTCACCTGGGGGGACGGTTCCTCACCTGGAGAAGGCAGGAGGCCTCACTGAAGGTGGAGGGTCATCTAGGAGGGGAGGGGCTCTTACCTGGGGGCGCTGAGCCTCATCTCCGCCGAGGGGATCTTACCTGCATCGCGCAGCCTTACCTGAGACCCCGGGGCTCACGTGGGGCGCAGGGGTGGGGGGCGGGCGCCGGGGGAAGGGGACAGTCGTCACTGGCGGGGCGGGGGCGCGGGGCGACGCGCAACGCTGACGGTCTGGCTCACCTCGCCTGGGTGCGCGGGGGCCGGGTCCGCGGAGTGGCCTGGCCTGGGAGTGGGGGGCGCTCCTGGTGGGCGCCGTCCCCCCCGGCCCGGGTTCGCAGCCGCCTCGACTTGTTTACACCGAGACCAGCTGCTGCCGCGGCTGCGGCGGGAGGGGGAGGGGGCCGGCCTCCTGTCCTGGCGGCCGCCGTGGCCAATCGGCGCGCGGCATGCAAATGAGGGGGCGCGTCATACGGCGGCCAGCGCAGGCCCGAGCTGCCCTTCCCCCTGCTCCCGGCTCCCGCCGGCCCGGAAATGCGGCTGCTGCCCGCAACCGGTTGGGGCCCAGGCCTAGTCGACCCTTGGGCATCCCGTGGTGCTTGAAGGGGCAAGGATTTGAGGGTCCTGACCTGGTGTGGGCTTAGGAATAGGTCGGTATCTGCATGCACGCTCCCGGGAAATCAGTCATGATTATCTGCGCCCCACTCTCCTAATCTCTACCGCAATCCTGCAAGGCAGTTTCTCTATTGTCTCCATTTTATCAGGGACTGGGGTCCAGAGAGGGTTAGCATCTCGTTCCCAGATTGCCCAGCTGCTAAGAGGCAAAGTTGGAATTCTCATTTTACCAAAGCACCAGAAACTGACTCAACCTCTTAGAAGGGAAGAGCTAAAGGTGTCCACTGCTGTGTTGTCAGGCTCCTGGAAGGAGGAAGCCAATTCACACTGTCTCCACGCACACTCCCCCATCCCCCTCACCCTCCAGGCTGTTAGGGCTGCCATACTTAGACTTCACGGTCACTGCAAGGGTCCCACTGCCCCGCCTGGCCTAGAGCAGGCAATGGGAACATTCATTGGGGCTGCAGTGCTGGTGGAGAGCTGCTAGTGAAAGTGGTATGGCCTGGCAGCGCATGGCCCATGAACCCTCCCATGCCGGCTCTCTGCTGCTGCATGAGGAGACCTACAAGGGAGGACCGGCAGGAAGTCAAGGTCCTCACTGGGTGCCTGGGGCTGTTAATGGCCTCAGGAAAATGGATCCATTCTGTATAGCACTTACAAAGCTGGGGGCTGGTTGGCCCTCTGAGAGACATTCCTGAGAGTGGAAGCCAAGCTGGCATAGGGTGTGGTGTCGCTCTGGGTCTGGAATGTAGTGGAACCAGTGGGCCAGACTGGCTAGGGTTCCAGGACCTGGCCCCAGGCTGGCCTCCTTAAGCCGCCATCTTTACCATCTTCTAGGATCCACCCTCTACCCCTCACTCAAAGTAGAAAGATGGGATTGACAAGAAACTGTTTATTTTTCAGGAAGACAAGCAGAGGAAATGGCCTCAGACTTAGGAGGCTAGGGCCGCTGGTTGGTGCTGGTCCAGGTATTGCCTCAGGGCTGTGGGGTAATCCGTCATGACGCCGGTGGCCCCTAGGCTCAAAGCCACTTCAAAATCAGACTCTTCATTAAGGCACCAAAATACCACCTAAGCAGGGAGGGCGGGACTTGTTAGTTTCCAAACAGCTCTGCCTGGAACTTTCCCTAACACCCAGCTGGTGGCAGCTCCCCTCCTCTGTGGAGACACCCCCTACTGCAGTGGTATGCTGGAAGCTGATTGTTAACTTTTCAGGAATTTTGCAAACTGGTTATCAAACACAGTTATTACTAAAAGTTAAACTGTATAAACTTACGATTAAACTAATTACATTAAAAACAGAGGCAATACTCAAAACCTATCACTTCCTAATTATTTCATTACATTTTACTATTTTCTGTTCTCCTCAGGCTCACTGTGTCTGTTGAACCCGTAAGATGAGAGTCTTGTGTAATGACTGCGGTGCTACCCTGTCTTCCACATTCTGTACTTAGAGACCCCATGTTGGCAACCTGAAATCAGTAAAGGAGGGATTACTTAATCCAGGGAAAGTAATGGTCAAATCAGGGCATTTGTTCTTCCTCCCAGGGAACCCATGCCCTGCTGCTCTGGGCATTCCCGACTTCTTTTCTGCACAAAGGCAGGTGAAGATGGAATTTTATTCCAGGCAAGTTGCTGGACCTCTTGATTTCTTAGACTGACAGATGAGGGTGATAGGCCAACCTCACAAAGTTGTGAAGATCCAAGCTGTGAGAGGGCTGATGGGCCTCACTCACCCCTTGTCCAAGGAGTAGCCAAGGCCTAGACTCTCTGAGTTAACCCTTCCGTCTTTCACTGCTGCCACCTAAGCCTGAGTCTTGACATTCTGCTTCCATGTGACCCCACACACACCACTTTCTTCTTCACTTGGTAGCCCAAGTGACCCTCAGTCAACAGACTCAGCTGGATCAGTCTCCCCTCTCCAAGGCTCTCAAAAACTTCCCTTCCTGTGGGTCAAAGTCCAGCCTCCTTTCTGAGGTCAGTGGGACTGCCTGCCTGAGCCTCTGCTGCCCTGGGCCACTTCCTCCAGGCTTGGCCTGGGCCATTCTATTCCTCTGACTCCTGCTCTTTTGCTCCTCCAGCCTCCCCACCCTTGGAGACCCTGCCTGAGATGTTCTTCCTCCCGTCCCTCCCAGGGCTGCTCCCAGTTCACCGCTTCCAGACTCTAAAGCTCATAGTGCTGTTTCTTTCTTTTTATTCTTTTGGTGGTACTGGGATTTGAACTCAGGGCCTGTGCTTGCTAGGCAGGTGCTCTACCACTTGAGCCACTCCACCAGCCCACTCTGTTTCCTTTCTACAGTATCTGATCTGGCATAGGCAGGCCACTGCCCACTTCATTTCTTACCTTGCTGGTAATGGTAAGTCCCCATGCTACTGTGCCTGGAATATTCTCAGGGAGGTTTGCTTTCAAAGTCAGTGCTCAGGACTGTGGGACAGGGTGGGCTGGGCCTGGTTTCCCCCCTCAGGGATCAGGACAATAGGTCCTATGTGTCTCCATCTTCAAGTAGCTCACCAAGCCCTAAGTACCAGTTATATATGGAAAAGAGTCACACATACCATGCTCCCCAATTTTACAGGTGAAGAAACAGATTCAGAAGGTGAAGAGACCTGTCCAAGGGATCCTGCCAGATGGCAGCAGAGTAATGGTGACTCTGCTACCAGGTGCATGCTGGGAACCACCTTGCCCCAGGTTGTGGTCAGTTCCTCACCTGTACCCCTCGCTCCTCCAGGTGTCGGATCAAACTTTTCCTCATAATGACCCTGGGTGGGACAGGGTGGCAAAGGTGATGATGAGAGGGAATAGAGAAGAAAGGCAGTGGCAGGTTCCTGTGGGGACACCCCACCAGGCCTTCTCACCCACCTTACCATTTTGAAAACACAGCTGCCAGCTTGTTCATCCCAGGGCTGGAAAATGGGAAGTAGGTCCTGTGGAGAGAAGGTGTAGAGTTAGCCCCTTGTTTCTCCCTCTGACACAGGAGTAGGGACAAGGTGGTAGTGACCGTTGACCAGTAAAACTCTATCCCCTCTAGAAGAACCTTTGCACTTGGCCAAAGGAACAATTCAGCCAGTGTTCAGTGAGGTCCATTCTATATCCAAGAGTCCATGCCTGGAGATGTACCCCTTTCTCACCATCTTACAGACAAGGATACTGAGTCTTACAGAGTGAATGGGACTTGCACAGGTCACAATGCATACTGGTGATGGGGCTGAGCCAGGGCCAGGATCTAGCTTGATTCCAGAGCTGGGTACCCCATCTGTAGGGCATCCTGGTTGGGCCTGGCCAGCTTCTTTTTTTTTTTTCCTTTGTAGCTAGCTTCTTGAGACCAGACAATGCTTCTATCTATCCCATTCCTAGGGATGACTTTAGAGGATAGCACCAGGGATGATTTCAGTGTTCTGGGCTGAACCAGCTGGCAGCCGTGATTTCAAAATGGTGAGGTGGGTGAGAAGGTGGGGTCGAAGTGTCCCCGCAGGCTCTGGAGTTCGACTCAGGGCAAACCTGGACTCTGTACTTCTAGCTATGTGACCTTGGGCAAATTATAGAACTGCTCTGAGCCTCTTTTCATCATGGGTACTAAAAGAGTCATGATTCCTATAACTTTTGGGGGCACTGCAAGGTAAAGGTCAAATGCCCTAAAAGATGGGAAATACTTTACAAATCCTGTATAAAAACCTACATATCCCAAGTTTTGTAGCAAGTGATTGTGGGGCTGCTGGGAGCGTCCCTCAGGACAAAGAGGGGGAGCAGAAGTTGTCAGAAAGCAGAGAGGGACTGGGCCTGAGAACCAGGGAAGTATCAAGCATCTGATACTTTGTCTGTTACTTTGTTAACCTTGGTCTGTAGTTAGAAAATTGCCTTTCCTTCAGAGGAGAGAACCACACAATGAATGAGCCAGACTGTAAACTCACCTAGGCCCATTGTTTATTTACTAGTGTAACAACCAGAAGAGGCCTTCCACCAAGCTTTGAATGGGCAGGGAGCCAGTGGCTCACGCCTGTAATGCTAGCTATTCAAGAGGCAAAGATCAGGAGGATCAAGGTTCGAAGCCAGCCCGGGCAAATACTTTCTCAAGACCCTATCTTGAAAATACCTAATACAAAAAGGGCTGGTGGAGTGGTTCAAGGTGTAGGCCCTGAGTTCAAGTCCAAGTACCACATATGTATACACATACACACACACACACAAGATTTTGAATGGCAGCCAGCATGGTGGCTCATGCCTGTAATCATAGCTATTTGTGAGGCTGAGATCAGGCAGATCAAGGTTTGAGGCCCCATGTCCAAAATAACTAGAGCAAAATGGACTGGAAGTGTGGCTTAAGCGGTAGAGTGCCTGCTCTGCAAGAGTGAAGCCCTGAGTTCAAACTGTGGTCCTAACAAGAAAAAAAAATTTTGAATGGGGGCTTGGAAGCATGGCTCAAACAGTAGAGCACCTGCCTAGCAAGCACAAAGCCCTGAGTTCAAACCCCCATACCGGGGGAGAAAAAAAAGATTCTGGATGGACTTGGATTAATGATTCCTTTCTTCTAAAACTATACATCAATACCTATATCATTTGGCTGGGTGCTGGTGGCTCACACCTGTAATCCTAGCTACTTAGGAGGCAGAGATTGGAAGGACCGTAGTTTGAAGCCAACCCAGGCAAATAGTTCAAGAGACTATCTCAAAAATACTCAGTGCAAAGGGCTGGCAGAGTGGCTCAAGAAGTAGAGCGCCTGCCTAGCAAGCATGAGGCCCTGAGTTGAAATCCCAGTACTGCAAAAAAAAAATACACATAATTTGTAGCTTGGCATGGGGTGCACAGCTATAATCCCAGTTACTGGGGAGGTTGAGGTAGGAGTATTGAGACCGACACTGGTCTGTACAAAAGTGAAAGACCGTATCTGAAAAACAAATAGAAAGCAAAGGAGTAGAGGTATGGCTCAAGGGATAGAGCTCTTGTCTAGCAATTGTGAGACCACGTGGTCAAATCCCAGTACTGAAAAAACAAACAAAATATTTGCATATAATAATTTCAGGAGGTCAAGGCCCCCTCGGTGTTTATGAATACTGGGTAACAATCACTGTCTTGCTAGCACAAAGCCACATGCCTGACATGACTCTTAACTGCAGCACTTGGGAGGCTGAGTCAGAAGGACTGAGTTTGAGGTTGGCATGGGCTACAAAGATTATCTGCTTTAAAAAAAAAAAAAAAGAAAAAAAAAAAAGAACCACTATCTTCAAAGGCCCTTGGGCGTTATCTCCGAGGGGGCCAGACAGCTGGCCTGAAGCCCCCCTCCTCCACAGCAGACCCTGAACAATTGGGCCTGAGTGGGCTGCTGTTCTGAGGGTATCCCCCAGCACTAGTACCTGTTGATGATAGTGGGCAGGAAGCAAAGGAAGAACTTCTCAGAGATGGAGATGAAGGGCAGCAGCCCCAGGTAATAGAGCAGCAGCATCCAGACCGTGCGGCCTATCGTGAAGGACACTGGCATCTCTGGGTTCTGGGGAGGCAAGGGGGGAGTGAGAAGGCATAAAGGTCTGCTCCTGCGGAAGCAGAGCGAGGTGTGAACTGCAGGGGACAGTGCTGGACATGCAGGAGCCCTACAACCTTGGCCAGTGTGATGGTGAATCTTGGCTATCAACTTGACTGGATTGAGACACCTGAGAGGTTAGTAGAGCACGTCTCTGTGGGTATCTGGGAGGGTGGTGCCCGACAAGATTCACTAAGATAGGGGGAGCCCACCCAGATTTGGCCAGCTCCATCTCACAGGCTGGGAACTCAGAGGGAACCAAAAGTGAAGAAGGAGAAAGCCCGCTGGGGCAGTTGTGCTCTTTCTGCTTCCTGGCTGCCATGACGCTTGGCCTCACAGGCCTACAGTACTGAGGCCAAGCATCATAGACTGAAGCCTGAGACTGTGAGCCAAAATAAATTTTTCCTCCCTTAAGTTGTTTATCTCAGGTGTTAGAATGATGGACAGGCAACAGCCAGTGTTGGAAGCCTCAACGGCTTCCATGGCCACCAATACACCAGTGTACCTGGTTCCACTGCCCCACCTCTCCAAATCCTTTCTTTGGGGACCATGCTCAAGGGCCAGTTCCTGGGAGCCCTCTTGGGGCCCTCTAGCTTAGGCCGTCAGGCTGACGTGGCCTCTGGCTCCTGGGACTAGGAGCCTGGAGTGGGGAGGGGAGGACACTCACAGCAGCCTTGCACTTCCGCATGATTGAGCTCTTCTCAGAGGCCCAGATAGTGATCTTGTTGCGGTCAAAACGTCTCACCAGGCTGGCTACCTAGGAGGAGGAGAGGGAGGCTAGGGAGAGCCAAGGCCCATCTTAGGTCTGCCGCCGTCTGTCCTGCCCAGCCCAGCCTGCAGCACCACCTTCTGAATGAGTTCCTCGTTCTTCTCTTTGATCTCCACACTCATAGGTGTCCGTGGGAACCTCTGGAATACATCCTCCAGGCGAACCATGTGCCGGTCTGACCCATGGGCAAAGTGGCCTGGGAATAGGAATGTGCGACAAGGAGTCAGAGAAGGACTGGAGGGGTAGATGGGGGAACCCAAGGGAGGCCTTGGAAGGTGGCCCCAGCTGATCCAGGGCTCACAGCCCCTGCTCTCACCTGGTGAGAAGTAAATCTCTAGCTCCTCCTTGTACAGGGGAAGCTCCTGGAAAGAGTAGGGAGGGTGTCACCAGGAGGCACAAGACTCTGGGTATGAGGGGGTGGGAGTGGAGGGTTGTGGCAAGGCCCACCTCAAAGTTCAGGCTTCCTATATTCCTGTTCAAGCCTGACTGGCGGGACAGGTTCTCATCGTGTGACACTACCACTACACCATCTCGTGTCAGCTGGCAGTCCAGTTCCAGGAGGTCGGCTCGCTGGGCCATAGAGCTATAGAGCAAAGGTCAATGGGGGAGGGGGGAACCGGAAAAGAAGGTCAGATTGCATGTGGTGGTAGTGGTGTTGGTGGCAGCTGTGGGGTCAAGAGATCATGGTGGGATGTGCAAGTCACCTTGTCCAGGGGGCTCTAGACACCCAATTAGGAAGTGGACGGCACCCCTGGGTGTCCTGCAGTGTGTAACTGGCACAACCTTACATGACAATGTGCAGGGGCAGGTGCACTCACTTCTCCATGGCCTCCATAGTGTTCTCCAGCAGCTCTCCAGACCCTGTGTTGGGACAGCAAGGTTAGGTCCCTGGTCCTGGCTCGACCTTATTAATAGCACACCTTGTCTTGCTGGCCTCCGTCCTGCTTCAGCCCTCCTCACAGCAGCCCAGGTTGAACCAATGCTCTTCCCTTTTCTATGGCCTGCTCTGGCCCCAGCTCTCTTCCCATAGTCCTTGTCCCATCTCTAGCATCTGCCCCCGACCCCTTTGCTCTGTGCTGCCCATGGTGGCACCTGTCTTTCTGGCCTCACTCCAAATGTTGCACCAAAGGCAGCCAACCTCTCCCCGCCTCTCCAACCCAGCTCACCTCCTCGGTGGGCTGCCAGGCGGGCCCGGAAAGCTGGAGTCAATGGTGTGTGCAGTAAACGAGGCCGGCGCAGGAAGAAGATGGAGAGCATGACGTAGCCGCCCAGTGCAGGCAGGGTGTAGAATAGCAGAGGGCTCATGGCTACACTCCTGCCCTGGCTCTGCTGCCGCGAGCACAGCCGTCCCAGTGGACTGTGCAGCTTACTGCTGCCTGCTGAGCTGGTATAGGCTGGGCCTGTCACTGGCCAGTGCCACGCCCCTGGGACCTGCTGAGCCTGCTGCTGTGCTCCTGGCAAGCAGCCAGGCTGCTGCAGGGCTCCCTAGGCTGGGGTAGAGGCAGAAGTCCAGGCCAGCATCCTGGGCCTCACATCCCCAGACCCTTCCCAGAATCTGGTGCCCCTCTGTCCTCAGCATCTCCCCCACAGCACTCACATAAGGTATGACAGGACCTCCCACACCCATGGGTGCTTGTGGCCAGGGTACACAACATACCACCTTTGCTATTTCCAGTGAATCTGAGGGTGTGTAGGGCACCCCTGAGTCACCCGGAACCACCCCCAGCCAGTTAGACAGGAAGCCATTAGAGGGGGAGAGAATAATGACTAAGGGGAAAATTAACCCCACTCTTTCCAGGGGCCTGGAGCTCCTTATACCCCATCCTCACCCTGACCAGTTGAAGCCAAAGGTGAGCAGGGCCCCACACAGCCACAGATGTAGGAGTCAGTTCTCAGAGCAGAACTGGCGAGGGTCAGGCGTCGGCACACACAGACAGAGCCAGGTTCATCAATATACACAGCTCTATATTTATATATTAGATACAGGCACGGGGAGGCGGGTGGGGGCACCAGCTGTGGGTGGACCCCACCTCCACTTCTGCTCACCCACACACAGAAGCAGCAAGGGTGTTAAATGTGGCAGCTTTCAGGGGACATGGGAGGCCCAGGCCTGGCTCCTCAGGGATACTAGCCCTTGAGACTTGGGAATGGTTCTTCAGGGAAAGTGGGGTGGGGGTCTAATGAGGTGAGTGGGGCGGGCTTGCCCTGTGTCCCTACTCAGTGCCTACCTACTCGGTAGGTCCTGGTGTAGCCAGAGCCCATCCATTCCAGAATGGTCTAGGATTGGGCTAGGAGGGGTAGGTGAAGGCAGAGCAGAAGAGAGAGATTTGCTGTGGGGCCCCTGAGCCCCTTAGGCCCTGGGAAGAGGAGGAAGAGGTGGGGATGGGAGGGAACTTTGGCCTGCCTGAAGCAGGAGACCCCAGCAAAGGGAGAGAAGGTGGCCAGGCCCACCCTTGGTGTGGTCGGGCTGCCGAGGTCTGGGCAGAGCACAGTGTCCATTTTCTAACAGTCCAGTAGGGGAGGGTGGGCAGGAGGCAGGGCCTGAAGGAAGAAGCAGGCAGGAAAGAACTGTTAGCTGGTGAAAGGACCCCGCTGAGCCCAGAGCCCAGGACCTATTTCACTCTCCTTGTTAGGGGGATGTCTCAGTGGCCTTATCTGTGAATAGGGACAATAAAAGCATTGCAAGGCTCTACATAGAGGACCAAATAAGTCAGTACATGGAAACCTCTCAGAACAGTGTTCTGGTGGCACTTGCTCTGATTACAGAAGTCTCCAGAAATTGAGATGAGGTGTCACGTGTAGTATAGGCAAAAGCCTCCTTCCTATCAGGCCAAAGGCAGAATGAGGCTGGAGAGGGGAAGGAAGCGTGGGTCATGGAGGCCCAGCAGGTTCCCTGCAGGTGTGTGACTGCTGGCCTGAGCAGGAGGTGGGAGGAAGCCTGGCATCTGGGTCGAGGCAGCTGAGGACTCCTCCTAAAGCAATCATGGCCCCACTTGCCTCTTTGCCCAAACTGGATAGCCAAGGCTGGGCCTGGGTTCTGGAGTGGCTACTGGGCTGGAAGAGGCAGGGTATTGACAAGTGGGAGATAGATGGGTCTGGAGCACAGGGAGGGACATGAAGGTCGGTGGGCCATGAGCCTCAGCCTAGGCAGATCTTGGTCCTTCAGTTGCCACCATATACATGGATCATGAGCCATACTTACGACTGCACTGAGGCATGCTGGCAGCTCTGTATCAGGGCAAAGCTGTCCATGGGCAGTGAGTCACTTACCAGGCCCTAGGCAGCAGGGACGTCTGTCCAGGTTAGGGGGCCTCTGAGGCCCCTGGCTGGAAGCGGGCAGTCTCCTGGAAGATGAGCTCTTTCAGCCGTTCCTTGGGTAGGTCATCCAGCTCCATGTCGAAAGTGAAGGGCTCCTCAGCCACTGGCTATGTGGGCAGAGAGAGTAAGGCCTAGGCCAGACATTAGCGATACCTATCCCCACTGCCCTCAGGCATGTTAAGGTAGCTGGCCCACCTCATCCGTCGGGTCATAGTACTGCTCCAGATAGGGGTGGGCCAGTGCTTCCTCCACGGTGATCCGCTTGTTGGGGTTGAAGGTTAACATCCGATCCAGCAGGTCAAGAGCTAGGGAAGGGCAGGAAGCAGGGATCAGGGGAAGACTGGAGGGGCTCCCAGAAGCATTACCTAGGCAGCTGCTGGGATACAAATGCTTCTCCACCCCACCCCTCTGTGTCTCTCACCTTTGGAGTCTGACTTGGGAAAAAGCTTGGCCCAGGCCACCTTGGTCTTGGAGGGCAAAGACTGCAGGTAATTTCGGGCTTTCATGTTGATGATACAATTCAGATCCTCCTGGGATGGGGAGCCCAGGATACCTGTGGGTAAGATGGGTGTCTTTGTTAGAAGTCTCCCTCCTGGAGTAGAACACGCAAGGAGGCAAGAACAAGAGCCCTTAGGCCAGTCGCCTGTCCCAACTCCTCAGGGTCACCTTACTACCCAGCCAACAGGGTGGTGGAGAAGAGCAAGGGGCTGGGATTCCCACAGCCCCTGGATTCAAATCCTGGCTCTGGACCTTCTTTAGGTGTGGGGCTTAGTCTTGCTTTCCCCATCTATCAAATGAGGACAGCATCTGTACTTTAATGAAAGACTGTAAGATGCTGGAGGGGCTCCACACATGATGGCACCATGACTCCGATCGTCCAGAAATCTCACCTCTGCAAAGCTGATCCCCTCCCCCTCAGCCTGCCAGCCCCTCACCCAAAATGTGGTTGAGCTGGTCCAGGTAGTGCTTGCCAGGGAAGATGGGCCGGTTGGAGAGCATCTCAGCCAGAATGCAGCCCACAGACCAGATGTCGATGGACTTGGTATAGCCCTGGGGAGAAGGGGAAAGTAGTGGGCTCCTGAGCTTGTCTCAACAGTCCTTCCTGGTATCTGGGTCAAGTACCACTTCCAACCTAGATCCAACACCAGACAGAGGGCACAGCATAGAGGTGTGGGGGGACCAGCTCCTGCTGGAGCCCAAGGGCCAGAGGACAAATGTCCTGCATGGCAGGGCCAGGGCCTGGACCAGAGCTGGCTCCAGGGCTTTCTCTCAGAGGCGGGGATTCTCCTACCTTGGAGTTAAGCATGATCTCCGGGGCCCGGTACCAGCGCGTGGCCACATACTCTGTCAGGAAGCCAGTGTGGTCATGCTCAGGGTCCGCGATCCGGGCCAGGCCAAAGTCACAGATCTGGAATCAGACCCAGCCCCTGAGCTTGGTGCGTGAGGCTTCCACAGCCCAAGCAGCCCCACTGCCCTTCCTCTGCCTATGATGTTCCACTTGCTTGCCATATGCCAAGGCTTCTGCTACTAGTCGCCTGGAAAATCCAGGCCTCAGGGGAGGAAGGGCAGGCCCCCAGCCCTCTGACCTTAAGGTCACAGGTGGTATTGATGAGCAGGTTGGAGGGTTTCAGGTCCCGGTGCAGCACATTGGCTGAATGGATATACTTGAGGCCCCGCAGGATCTGGTAGAGGAAGTAGCAGATGTGGTCATTGCTCAGCTGCTGGCTTTTGAGCAACTTGTACAGGTCTGTCTCCATCAGGTCCTGCACAATATAGCTGAGAATGGCTCCGGAGACCCCCAGGTAGGGGGTAGCAGGAGGCACTTGGTTAAGGAAAGCAGGCTCTAGCACCTAGGCTGCACAGTCCCTCTAGTGGTGCCCCTTGGCCTCATGAGCTGAGCAAGGCACAAAGCCCCAGCTGCTGACCCTGTGCAAGGCACTTCCATTCTGTTGCCTCAGTTTCCCTACTGGGCAAATGGGGATGTTAATAAACTGTGGGAAGCAGGGGGATTGCAGGGTCAACAGCTCTAGAGTTACCCACTGATGTATGAAATCACATTCTACTATTCTATTATGTTCTCAGCCTGTCTGTGCCTTAGTTTTCATCTGCCTTAGTTTCCTCATCTAGCAAGTAGAAGTAACTGTTCTTTAGCGGGTGACTGTGATGAGATGGAGAGCAGTCAGCTCAGAGCTTGGCACGTTGTAAGTGCTCAGCAAACGTGAACTATTATTGCTACTACATGGGCCTGAGCCACGTGGCTGTTGAGGGGGCTACATGAGATAATGTATGAGCACCATCTGGCACACAATAAATGTTTGCTTAAAAATAAATGCCTGCCTTATGGGAATGATTCGTGCCAGAAAAATGAGGAGACACTCCCAACAGCCTGTTCCTACTTGAGAGTGCCTGGCCATACATCAAGAGATAGGGAAGTAAACGTCCTCGTATACTTCAATATAAAACAAAGATTAAACACAAATAAATAGACAAATAAATAAGCCAGGTGCCAGTGCCTCATGTCTGTAAATCTAGCTCCTCAGGAGATAGAGGTCAGGAGGATCAAGGTTTGAAGCCAGCTCATTCAAATAGTCCTTGAGACCCTATCTTGAAAAATCCCATCACAAAAAAAGGGCTGGGGGAGTGGCTCAAGGAGAAGACCCTGTTTAAACCCCAATACCACAAAAATAAATAAATAATAAATAAACACATAAACAAAGCCATGGTGCTTATTTCTGGAGAATAAGTCAGGACTATCTTTCAGAGAGAACATGTGGACCAAGCTTGCTGTTTTATACATGGAGAAGCCCAGTGAGATGTGGTGATGGGGGATGGCGGGTGGAGATTTCCTATCCAGTCTGTGGTAGGGGCTACAGATAATGCAGAACAAATCCCTACTTTTGAGTGGAGGCCTGAGACTTGCAGGGGGGGTGGGGGTGGGGAAGAGGTGACGGGTGTTACCAACTATCAGGAGTCAAGCAGGAAGTAGATAATGAATGAGATAAGTAGTATCGGGCAAGGGCAACACAGGCTGGGCTGCCCTTTCTGGGCAAGGTGCAAGTCCACAGGTGATCAGGGTGGGGCTCTGAGTGGGAAGTCTCAGAGAAAGAAGGACAAGTTCCCATCTGGGGGAGGGGAAGATGCAAGAACACAAATACTTGATTTTAGCCTTTCTGGGCCTCAGTTTCCTCATCTTTAAAATGGAGCTAGCAAGGCCCATCTCATAGGGCAGCTGGGAGGTAGAATCAGAACCAAAAAAGCATTTCACAAGCATGGTACCTAACACACAGTAGGCCTGCAAGAAAAGGCAGCTTTCTTCTCTGTCTTCCTTCCAGTCTGGAGACCCAGAGGAAAAGAATCATCAGTCTGTTAAGCAAAAACTGTGGGCAGATGCTGGGTCACAGTACAGAACTGCAGATGTCAGAAGACAAAGCTCCCATAGAGACCATCTTACCAGACCCCTCCCCCCTACCAGAGCACACAGCAGAGTAGGACTTGTCCAAGGCCATTCCACTTGGGTGCAGCAGGCCAGTATCCACCTGAGGCCTCCCAGGCCTCTTATATTCTCTGGCCTCTTCTAGCTGGAAAGTTTGTTTGGTTTATTTTGGAGGGTGGGAGGGAAGATGGAAACAGAAAGAACACCAACATTCCCTAGCCCAGCTCCAAGGCTGTGCCTGGCCAAACAGACGGCCAAGGTGAAGGATACATATCTCTCATGGCTTCCAGGGTGGGTGCACGGAGAATGTCTCGAATGCCTATGACATTCTCATGGCGGAAGCGCAGCAAGATCTGAATCTCACGGAGAGTGCGCTGGCAGTAGGTCTGATGCTCAAAGGGGCTGATCTTCTTGATGGCCACACGAGTCTTGCGCACGTGGTCATAAGCCGAGCTGAGAAGGCCAGAGAGATGTTGCTGGTGTGGCCTTACAAAGGGGGAATCTAAGCCTGGTGGCCCCACCCAGGCCTTGGGAGGGAGGAGAGGGAGCAGGAGAGAGCTCTGGCCAAGTCATAAACAATGCTGGTTCCTTCCTGCTGTGAAGGCCTGGGATCTCCAGGGAGAAAGCTGGGGACCAGCCAGGCGGCCTTTCAGTGACTTCACAAACAGAGGAAGAGACTGACCACTCATTGACTTCCACTGCTTTCCCCTCTCCTCCATCTCCTTCCATTATTCTGGTTGCCCTGACCCCCTCCTCTTTCCCTCAATCCAAGACAGGTCCAGGGGGTGGGAGATGAGTGGGGGATGTAGATGAGGCAAACACAGCAGGGAGGAGGCAGTCATGAGGTGACAGGAGAGAGAGGATAAGGAGGGGGGTTTCAGGGTGAGCTACCTGGGTAGCAGAGATGTTCACATTGGACTGGAACAGAGGTCCATAGTACACAGTGGGTTGGGGAGAACTCACAGACCCATCCCAAAAGATGCAGAGGATACTCATGACCCCTCATCTTTCATAGGGCCCTTGGCTGGGCAGGGGGGGAAGGTGGGTACCAGGGTTGCCCCACTCAGAACTCTGCTCTTCTCTTCCAAACTCCCTGTCACAGCTTCACTGGGCAATTCAATCTTCTCCCCCAAAAGGGTCTTCACTCCCCCTTCCCAAGAATACTTACTCGCTGAGCTTCACCCTCTATGGTCCCTGATGCTCACAGCTCCCCCACGTACACTCAGATGCCCCTCCCTTCGTGCCAGAAGGGTCGCTCCAGAGCCTCCAAGCCCCCACCCCGGAGAATGTAGACAGCCCCCCCACCCCAAAGCACCGCACGGTCCCCTCCCTGGGACACTCCCCGAGCCTCTAGTGTCCTCTGCCTCTTCGGGACGCCCCGGAGTTTCCACGCCCCAGAAAGCAGAGGGACGTGCTTGTACCTCTTTGAAGCCCCCTCCCCGGAGACACCCCCTCCCCCGGAACGCCCCCTCACCTGACCATGCCGTACGCGCCCTCGCCGATGTACTGCAGTTGCGTGTAGCGCGGGCCCACGTCGAACGGCTGCCCCTTCACTATCTCCACTTCCCCTGAGACCCCCGGGCCGACCCCATCAGCTCCCCGGGTCTCCCCGCCCCCGCCCCCCTGAGCCGCCGCCGCCACCGCCGCCATCTCCACTCCTCCCCTCCCTCCCCCAGCGGCCCCGCCCGAGGCCCCGCCCCTTCCCGCCCGCCCTGTCACCCGCGGGACCGCGCCAGCCGGGCCCCGCCCCCTCCCCGCCCCACGCCGCGCGCGGGCCCGCGGCGTCACGTGACCCGCCGGGCGCGTGCCCCGCTTTCCCGCCATGGTGCCCTGGTCCTTAGTCCCCTGCGGCTTCGCAAGCTCCCGTCGACGAGGAGGCCCCGCTATGCGTGCGGGCTGGGAGACGGTGTAGCGGCCCGTCGATGGCGAAGCAGCCGCTCGGTTATCCAGAGCCACCCCGCGGGTGTGCGTTGGAACCGGATTTGAACCCGGTGGGCCGGGCCTCTCTGAAGTGAGAGCTGCAGCCCGAGGGACCACAGGCGCGGGGGTTGCACACGGGAACCCCCCACCAGCCCTTTGCGGTTGGCCTTAAGCCAGATTGATGATGCGAGGCCATCCGTATTTCGCAGTCGCCCCGGGAGACCTGCTACTCCCTCTTACAGATGAGAAACAAGCTTGCGAAGTGGCTGGTGACTTAAGAGTCACTCAGAATCGCTGAGAGCTGGGGACCCCAGATTCCCAGCCTCGTGTCTTCAGACAAGGACCTGCAGGTGTTAGTTATGGCATCTCACCCTGCCAGCAGTGACGTGGTACAGGTCCTCTGCCTCATTGCCGGCTTAACACGAAGAGGTGCAAATTAACAGAATTAGTTAAAATACACCATGAGCCTTTTCACAAAAACAGTGGAAGAGGTGATGTTTGTTTTACTGGATTTGGCAGAACTGGAATTCTGTTAAGAATGTGCTCTTGGTTTCTATACCTTAGGATAACCCCACAATATCTTTCTCATCCAAGTTTTGTGAGCTGGAAGAGCAAGTGACATGTCTTGGTTATTACTGATCCCCCCACCCCAACCCCTTCCGTGCCTGGCATGCAGATGTTCAACTTTGTGTTTTGGTTTTTGAGACAGGGTCTTGCTATATAGCCCAAGTTGTCTTGGAACTCACTCATTATGTTGGCCCAGGCTGGCCTCGAATTTGTGATCCTCCTGAGTGCTGGGATTATAGATGGGTACCACCACACCTAACCTGTAACTTTTTTTTTATTTGAATGAGTCAATGAATGAATCAAGTCTTACAGATGGGAAATCTGAGAATTGGGTCAACTAATGAGTAAGGTCACTGTCATAGTAACAGCTGAGACTCAGAATATCTTCCGATATAGAGAAGTGGAGGCTCTTTCTAATTCCTTTCCGTCTCAGAATGATAAATCGTTCAAACTGAAGAAGGGGCTTTCAGAGATCATGCAATCCATCCTCCTCATTTCCCAGTGATCACGTGAGCTCAAAGCCTCACAAATACACAGCTTGGAGGCTTCAGTAAGTAATACATTGTGTTTTTCTCCCTAAAAAGCTGTGAGGAGGTCCTTGTATGCATTACAAATCAAAAGACAAAATGGAACAGTAATTATAATTCTGAAGTTGCTTATGATGAGATCTATGGCTGGGTACTCAAACTCACATTAATGAGACTGATTTGCTAATTCCCAGTAGCCCACAAGATTTAAGAGGTACTAATTAGATTAGTGGCATTTTTAGTTATTCATTTGACGAACTATTAAATGGCACTGTGAGCAAAGGTCTGAGGCAGACACAGTGACTGATGAAAGATTGCTATAGTGTGGATTCATGGATGAGAGCAAGAACTTGACCGTAACCAGATTGCTTGAGTTAAGATCTCATATTTGCCACTTCTTTGCTGTGTGACCCTGGGCAAATTGCCTACTGGACTCTCATAGGCTTTGTAATTTATTAAAGATGCACATATATAAATCAGTTTAATGCTAGGTAGAATGTGCTAAATAGAAGGCATATGAGCGCAGGGGTGGGGAAGATCACTCTTTTTAGAGAAGGAGGGAGTAATGGAGGAGGTGGCTTTTGAGCCATTGGAAAATAAGTAAGCTTGTAGAAGGTTGGGATAGAGGAAGGACATCGAGGAAAAGGAGCAGCATCGGCCAAGTTACAGAGGCAGGCGTATGACTTGTGCCATGTAGCTTAAGGAAAAAAGGATTCAGGGTAGAAGAAACAAGGTGATCACAGCCAGACTGAGCAAGGCCTTGGATTCCCGCAGTTTGGATGCTACTCAGTTGAGCAGTGAAAGCCTTTGTGGACTTTTGCCAGATCAGTTTGGAACCGCGGGAGAATATAGTGACTCAGAGAAAGCACTATGGAGCTCAGCTTGGAGCCAGGTTTCCTGAGTGGGAGTGTTTCCCAGCAGGGTAAGGCTGGCTTGCTGGAGCCTCATTACAGGAATGTGGCCGAGATTTCCCCCTAGTGGCTGAGGTTGGTATTTCCTTGGAGGGTTGGGCGGGATCTCTGAGTAAGGCTAACGGAAACTGACCTTGTATTCTGAGCCAGGCATGGACGCCTACAATCCTCAAGCGGCTGTATGAAGTAGCTGCTTTAATGTTTACCTGAGAAAAAGCATACATTGACCTACACGGGTGGAAGGGCTTGGAATAATTTTTCCACCAGGTGGTTGGTTACCTCACAGCTCACTGCATTTGTACAGCCTCTGTAATGGCTCCTTTTGACTTTGTGACATCTAGCTCTACCTAGACTAAATCTTAAACTAGTTCTTATCTTTTTGTGATTTCAAGATCTGGAAGATTGAAGAGCATACAGGAACGCTTCAACTGACTAGTGTGCACCCAAGAAGTATGTGTACGGAATAAGGGTCAGAATACATTTTATTTAAATTTTTCAATTTTTATTTTATTTTGTCTTATTTTATGTCACAGTGTCTTGCTGTGTAGCCCAGGCTAGCCTTGAACTCATGATCCTCCTGCCTCAGCCTGCCTAGTGCTGGGATTACAGCTGTGAATCACCATGGCTGGCTCAGATGATATTTTGAAATTGATCAACATTTAGGTACTGACCAGTTTCTAAACCCAAAACAACACAAATCTTCTGTTATACTTTTCTTCTTACATGTCTTCATGTATAGAGAATATTGAAGGTTGGGGGCATAGCCCAGTGCTGATGTATGCTCAGTAGGTAGCATAAATTGTCATTCTTCCATTTTCTCCCATAGCTAGCAAACTTCTTGTCATTTTATCACCATAGTATTTCCTGAAGCCATTTCCTCTATAATTGAGCAAACCTTAATTTCATATTTTATTGTCTTTTTAACTTTGAATAATTTCAGACTTAACCAAAAAGTTGTGATAGCTAAGTCAGTCCTCAGTCTTATAGGGTTCACCAACATACTAGGAAATTGGGAATTACAAAAAGTAGGCTAGTTTTCCAGGCTACAAAGTTAATGTCCCAGGAGATAGGTCAAGAAGACTATATGGTGAGCAGAGAGATCAAGAAGTCAGAGCCAAGAAAAACAAGATCATTAAAATTACAACCACTGAGGCAGGGCAGTGATCTGCTGTACTCCAAAATCCAATGAGGAACTTTCCAGATGATAAGGAACAAATTCCAGGTGGTAAGCCCCAAGTACATGCAGAAAGAGAGTTACTAAAATACCCATATGGTAACTTTGCCTTATTAGCTGATAAAAATCACACTGGGGGGAGACTCAACATGATAATGAGACGCGATGGAGAGCCAAGGTGCATGGAGACTCTCCCTCTACGCAATGATGTTAGGAAGACTGGGAGCTGGGCTTGGTTGTACTCACTTATAATCCCAGCCCTTGGGAAGTTGAGGTAGGAAGATGAGGTCAGGTCAGCCTGGACTGCAGAGTGAGACCCTGTCAATAAAAAAAAAGTGTTCCTGCCCATCTATAGATGCCATAAAATGTCTACCTGTCTTTTGAGGCAGCCTGTCTTACTTGTGCTCAAGGGTAAGAATAAAGAGCCTTGTTCCCATGCTACTGTGCTTCTGTCTGATTTTCTAATAGGTAGCTCAGGAACCCCCAGAGACGGTTGCAGTTGAAAAGTACAAAAAAAATTCTGTCAGCCAGGCGCTAGTGGCTCACACCTGTAATCCTAGCTACTCAGGAGGCAGAGATCAGAAGGATCACGGTTCAAAGCCAGCCTGGGCAAATAGCTCATGAGACCCTATCTCAAGAAACCTTTCACAAAAATAGGGCTGGTGGAGTGGCTCAAGGTGAAGGCCCTGAGTTCAAGCCCCAGTACTGCAAAAACAAAAAAAATTCTGTCTACCTTAACATTTTTTTATTGTTAACATTTTATTTATATTATGTAACTATTCAAGAAAGTAACATTAATAGAGTTAATATAGTCTGATTTGGTGTTTTTTTGTGGTACTGGGGTTTGAACTCAGGACCTTCTTAGCAAGTGCTCTGCCATTTGAGCCATGCCACCTGCCCTTTTGCTTTAGGTTGTTTTTTAGATATGGTCTTGAGGTTTTGACCAGGACTGGCCTGGACCAAGATCCTCCTACCTCTGCCTGCCTTGTAGCTGGGACCACAGAAATATACTACCATGCCTGGTTTGCTTGTTGAGATGGGGTCTTGCTAACTTTTTTCCAGGGCTGGCTTCAAACTGTGGTCTTCCTGATCTCTACTTCCTAAGTAGCTAAGATTATAGGCCTGAGCCACCATGCCAGGCTTTCTTTCTTTCTTTCTTTTTTTTTTTTTCATGTCCCTGATACCTTTGAAGATTAAAGGCCAGATGTTTTGTTAGAATGTCCCTCAGTTTAGTTTGTGTATTTTCTTGTCATTTTTCATTTCATTTTTTTGTCTTTACTATTGTATTGTACCATTAATATTCTTTTGTTGTTAATTGGTTTATTTTAAGAAATGAGGTCTTGTTCTTTTGCCCAGGTTGGAACTCCTGGGCCCAAGCAATCCTCCTGCCTCAGCCTCTGGAGTCACTAGGACTATAGATGTTTGCTACTGGGACTGGTTTTGGCCTGATTAGGTTTTTTTTTTTTTTTTGGGGTGGTACGGGGTTTGAACTCAGGGCTTCACACTTATTAGGCAAGTGCTCTACTACTTGCGTCACTCCATCAGCCCTGTTTCTGTGTTCACTATTTTTGAGATAAGGTCTCTCGAACTATTTGCCTGGGCTGGCTTTGAACCTCCTGACTCTGACTGGTGA